AAAATTCTTCTTTTTGTGGACGGCCTTGAGCAAGATAATTTCCTGCGAAATTTAGTTATGTAAAGGAGGCGTTGAAAAGCATTAAGAGAAGCTCTTCACTCTCACGTGCGGATTAGTCCAGCCCTCGCCGAAGGCAAGATATTCGCGAGAAATTTCCCTGATTTGTCGTTGAAGCGAGAGAGGCGTTTGATTTGTGTCAAAACTAAACGACGTGGACCGCAAAACCACATAAATTTATTACCTGTTTCAAAAAAAGGGGTTTCATTTGTTCCTGAGAAACTAGAAAAAAATGTTACTAATTTCATTTTCCATAAATTTTACTTCTCAAATTCGAGTGGGATGAAAAAAATTTAATTTTTGCCATTTATATGGTTTTATTTGTGATTGTGACTTTTGCCCTTGAGATTATTTGGCCCCTCAGGGATCAGAAAGAAGTCAAAGAAGACTTAATTTTGTATGGCGGGCATTTTAATAAATAAGTACTGAAAAAAATTAATTTATAACCAGTAATATTAACACAGAATTATTGTAACTTTTGGCAACAATTGAGATTTTTTTATGTTTTTATATGGCTTTTTAATTATCATTCAGTTTTATTATTATTATTTTTTTTACTTTAGACTAACAAAAAATATAAAACTGGCGAACATGTGTTTTCTTTTTTCTCTCTTTTTTCAAACAATGAATCAAGAGTCATAAAGATCTTGTCCAACAACAAGTTGCGACTTTGCGCGTGGACGTCGGCGTTTCCTGAATAGGAATCGCGCGCGCGTCTATTTTCCGCACTCGCGGGGTAGGGTGTTGGCCAGCAGAAGGGCAGGGACCACCTTTTGGCCTCTACCTGAGCGCGACCTTGCCGGCGAGGCACCTACATGCGCCCGCCTGGAGTCACGAACCCATTAAACAATTTATATCTCTCGTTTCGAGAGAGAACACGTAAATTCATAAACGCTTTTCGTTTTCAAAATTCTTACTGGGTTGAGGAAGGTTTTTATAATGAATATTTTGCTTTCAACAAAAATAATAAAAATCGTGAGTCTGTTTCACTTTTCAATGGAATTTTTACTACGCAGGAAACAACGGTGCTTTCTGTTCGTTGTTGGACAACAATAAAAATTATATTGAAATCATAAAAATAAAATTCAGAGAAAAATATTCGAGAGAGCAACAAAATTATGAAAATATCCTTCACAATATTAATTTACCTGTCGATACTCGTTTGATTTGACAACTTAATCGTTCAATTACTCTGGAGCCGTTTCCTGATTTGTGCGAGAAAAATCGCACCAGAACAATTTATTAGCAATAAAAGTAAATTGCCAATGCCAAAGCCATTAGAAATATGACATAAAACGATTGATTTTGTGCTCTGGCGAATTTCAAGGAAGCGGTTTGAGAGATAAAAATTGATCATATATTTAATATTTTCCTGTTGTATCAGATGATGAAATCTGCCGAGGAGAAATGGAAAGAATGAGGAAGAAAAAGAGAGATGCTGGGGCAAATGAAACGCACCTTATATATTAATAAAATTGGGCGATACGCACGCTACAAGCCTGACCCTGAGCAAAAATTCGGCGTCTGATAATTTTAATGTCAGCGGAGAAAATCATCCCATAAAAATCAGGCTGAAAACCTTTCGCACCTATAAAGAGTTGTAAAAACTTATGAAGGTAGAAGCTAATTTAAATGTCTTTTTGAAAACGTGTGCTCTGACAATTTATGTCTTCCTCTTGTCTTACATATCAGAACTAAAACCGAATCAAGAGAGAATAAATTGCGCACTAATATTTGCAAACACATTCATTTACGACTTTTCAGTGGGACATATGTTAACACCATAGGATCAAAACAAGTAATATAATTTTTTAAATAGAAGTGAGAAGTTTAGTTGCCAAATATCTTCTTCTTTTGTGAATTTTAAAAATAGTTCCTCCAAAAAATTTTTTCATTAAAGCATTAAATGAACTTGAGAGTTTTGAATTGATTCAACAGAGAAATGGCCAGGAAAAAATCACATAAAGTTAATATTTATTTTTCATCTGACTGATCGGTTTTCAAATTTATAAATTATAAATAAGATTTTTTGAAGGTTGGAAACTATTTTTTAAACAATATTTTGTTGCCTTTTAAAAACACAGAGCAAAATTTATAAATTATGGTTTTTTTACAACAGAACGTAAAAAATATCTGTGCAATTTTTCTTTAGAAGATTTCACATCTTCCAACTCATAGAATCCCGGTTTCACCTTTTCACTCCAAAATCATTTGAGCCTTTTGAAACTTTGAATAATACTTTTTCTCTGTATTTTGTGAAAAAATTCTAATTTTCCCTGAAGTTTAAATGGCTGGAAAAGATGTGTCAATTTGTCAATTACCAATGTTGAGTTTCGATTTTTATTGTTGCTAATGCATGCGGCTTTGGTGTTTCCTAATTCATTTCATATGATTTATTTTATAAATCTATGTTTTCCAAATCAAAGATAGAAATCGGAGCAATTTAATTAATTTCCAGCCTACGCATTAGCTTAAAGGAACACTTGACATTAATTGCCATTGACTTGATTTAGCCGTGGTATTATTAAATTTGCAGATTGTGATCGGCTGCTGAGTCATTCCGGGGCAAGTTGCCCGGAATAGAAATAAGCTGCGAAAATCAGGCAATCGGTCATTTGCTCATGATTACGTTTTCGGCGCGGCGCCTTTTCAACTTTTCCGCCAACACGAGAGCGTCTCATTTTTATTTTGATGCGATTTTGATTTTGGCCCGAACGAAAAAGGTCCGATGTGCAGAGGTGGTCGCACAACCTCAGGGGTCTGTGAACTTGAAAAGGAACTGTCGGGCGTCGAGTGGGTGGCTCCGTTTCATACACACCATATTTTTTCCACACGGACATAACGCGATCGGTTCAGGTTCACTTTTTTACATAACCAAAGCAAACAATAATAATAATATGGAGGCTGGCGTCGATCTGCTTGAGAGACACTCGGTGGTTGTACTTTGCGTGTGTGTGCATTAATCCGTTCGAGATGGACGAATGGGATAAGCCCGGGTTCTATACTGTAATTCATTCAAAGTCAAAATAAATATGATTGTATTTTGTTCATTTTAATATTTTACGTGGACAATTTCTAGTTGCAATTTAATTTTTTGATCAAATGAAAACTAAGGAATTTATTTTATTTATAGTAATTTAGTAATTTTTGGATATAATTATTATTGTAGTTGTCTATTTGTCTACATCGCTTAAATTCACTGGTTGAAAATAATTATGATATAATTTATAATTAATTTCTGCTTCTTCAAAGCTTCCATTATTTAAAATAGAAAAATGAGTTCTCTGAGTTTTAAATAAAACAATGATTACAATATACTATGTGTTTGGAAAAATATTATTTCAAATTTAAGTGTTTATTGCTTCCATTAAAAAATATATATTTTTGACATTTTTCCCCTCATTTTTTGTTTATAATCTTCCTTCCGAAAGGGTAAAACACGGTCAAATGGACACCTCAGTTATTTAATGATCGTTCCCAGAGCGGGTATTAAATTCTCTGCGGTGAACAGATCGTGCGCTGGCCGTCAGCAGTCCGGAGAGAGAAAAGGAAGAACTAAATTTTCTTGTTCTTTGTGTCGAGACGTAATGCAGGTTGCGTGTTCCTCCCAATCAAGCAATGCGGAGGATGCAGATTCAGTTGCACGAAAATAATTTTATTCATCTCTCGTAAACGCACGAATCGCATGACAACGAAATTGTCTGCAATTAAAGCGCCTTATCAATTTGCAGAGTGGACACTGCAATTCTCAAGTGGAGATTGAGTGAATCACCTTTGAGAATTGCGCATAAAATATTTTTTCAAGACACTATATGATGAGAATTGTAAAAATCAATTATTTTATTTGAATTTTAAAAATAAAAATAATATATTTAAAATAAAAAATACTAGTCAAAATTTTTTTTTGAAATTTTTGTTAGATTTTTTTCTATTTTAAATAAAATTAATTAAGAGAAACAAGGAAGGTAAATATAGATTGAGGATTTAGGGGTGCATTTATTGGAGGGAGTGAAAACCATGCTGGGAGATTTGAACAAATTTTTAAATTCTCTAATTAATTTGTTATAATTCTCTTCACAAAAGTTAAAAATAAGATTAATGTCGTGAAATTCATAACTTCTAGCTTTTATATATATTTTTTTTCTTTCATATTTTGTTCCAACAAAATAGAACGTTAATAAACTAATTATTACCAATTCTATGCACTAATAATTTGAACTGATCATAAAATAAAAGTGTTTTACTGAAAAAAAAACTCCCGAGTTAAGAAAAAAAAATCGAGAAACAAGTATATAATAATAGATTCAGATTTTATTTCGAAGTGATCATCGCCGTGAATCACGCACATGTAAGCTCGTGGTAAATGAAAATCAGGTGCACACGCCTTGGCCAATTACAGACATTTTCGCGGAAGAGATCGATTACTGGGCCGGTTTGTTGAGAAAATCATTTGACATCTGCATTTACGCAACAAATATGCAGTTTTGCAGCTTTTGCTGAGATATTTTTTTCTCATAATCTACAAAGATGATGATATTTGCGATTCCTATAGAATTTGTGTAGGAAGAGTGACCGTGAAAATAAAAAAATTCTAGCAAATATTCTAAAAAAGTATTTCACCCATAGGGTGTTGTAAAAAGAAGATTTCCATCAATCTCCCACGTGGATTTGAAATAAACAATCGTTGTAAAAATGTACTCCACTTGAATGCAAATACTCTCTTCCTCAATTACTCCGATTCACTTCCTTGCGCAATTATAATTTAAAATGTATATTGGGCGAAAAAAGATAAAGTAATGACGAGACGAGCCGAATTAACGAGGGCCGTATGCTAATGGCAAAAAGTGATCTGCGAGCATAACATCCGAAGGTGAGGAGCTGCGGCGCAAGGTGAGCCTATCTGTACCAAGCCCAAGAAAGACGCAGGCTGCCCCTCCCTGCGCTCCTCGGCGGTTCCCACTTTGAGGATGTGCCGACCAGAGAGGACCACGCCGCTCTATAAAAGGGACCAGCGGACCCTCAGCCCCACACATTCCAGCCGTATTCAAACACGGGGGAACTTGCAACCATGAAGTGCTTCGTAAGTCGCAATTACATCTTATTCCTCTTATAATTATAATACCAGACTTCTTTATTTTTTCATAAATTAATTTTTCTTGCTAAATTTGTCTTCAAAATTTTTAATTATATTTTAGAATTGAGTCCAATTTTATTAATAAATATAAGTTTTTAATTTAAGGTTCTATTTCAATGTTGTCATATTTTTTTTATTCCAGAATAATTATACTTGGCAAGCGTAACTTTCTAAGACTTAAATTATAAGTATTTAATAATTTAGAATCTAAAATAATTTAATTTTAAATCAATAGAGCTTCACAAATAAATTGAAACTGTTTAACAAGACAAAATTGTCCGTTTGATAAAAAGTTATTTGTTAGAATTGTATAAATTAATTTATTTACAAATTCCGTCTATTGAGCAATTTTTAAATTTTCTATTCTAAATTTTCAGATCATTCTGTCCGCTGCCATGGCGCTGGCCGCCGCTCATCCCATTCTGCTGCAGCCCAACTACGCTGGCAACTACGGCTGGCTCGCGCCTTCCGTGGTCAGCAGCCAGTACCACGCACAGGACGAATTGGGACAGTACAGCTATGGCTATGCCGGCGGCCCTTCCGCCAAACACGAGGTGAAGACCTGGGATGGTGTCACCCGTGGCGGATACTCTTACATCGACGCCAACGGCCTCGTCCAGACCGTCAACTACATTTCCGACCCCGTTCACGGCTTCAGGGTGGCCGCCACCAACTTGCCCCTTGGACCTGGACAAGCTCCCGCCCCTGTTGTAGACACTCCTGAGGTCGTGGCCGCCAGAGCTTCGCACTTGGCCGCTCACGCCGCTGCCAAGGTGGCCGCCCCTGTGGCCGTCCAGGCTGTCGTGGCCGCCCCAGTCGCTGCTCCCCTCCCGGTTGTCGATACTCCTGAAGTTGCCGCCGCCAAGGCCGAGCACCTGGCCGTTCATGCCGCTGCCAAGGTGGCCGTTCCCGTGGCCGCTCCTGCCCAGATCGTTGCCGCCCCTGTGGCCGTTGCTCCCGCTCAGGTTGCCGTTGCCGCCCCTGCCATCCGGTACGCTCCCTACGCCCCCGCCTTCAACGCCTACAACTGGGGTGCCCCTGTTGTCAGCAGCCAGTACCACGCTCAGGATGAACTGGGACAGTACAGCTACGGTTACGCCGGCGGCCCCTCGGCCAAGCACGAGACCAAGACTTGGGATGGAGTGACCCGTGGAGGATATTCCTACATCGACGCCAACGGCCTTGTTCAGACCGTCAACTACATCTCCGACTCCGTACATGGCTTCAGAGTGGCCGCCACCAACCTGCCACTTGGACCTGGACACGCTCCCGCCCCTGTTGTGGACACTCCTGAGGTCATTGCCGCCAGGAGCGCCCATTTGGCCGCCCACGCCGAGGCCAGAGCTCGCGTCTGATCTAAATTTTTTACAACTTCTCTCGACTTCCAAAGATATCGTTGTCTGGTCGCTTGTCCTCTGCATGAAAACTCTTACGTTAAGGGTCACTGAAAATTTCACATAGAGGCGAGGACGACCAGGTGAACACTCCGACTTCTTTCTCATCTCTCATCACCAGTATTATTGTTCCTGCTGGCCGAACTTTAATCCTGTAATCCAGATTAAGTTATTTGTACGCCACAAAATAAAAATGATTCCAACTGAAAATGTATAAAAATATTTTGCTTTGTTTTAAACAAACCCACCAACCTTGTATATATTTGGTAGAAACAAAAACTTGCTTCTAGAAACGCAGTATAGTATGGGAAAGAGTTGCGGTCAACATCTGTGATGGCCCAAGGTGCACAGATTTAATAAAAAAAAAATGTGGTCAGAATTCCATAAGCACCAAAATAAGACGGATATTTGGTCTTGAAAAAAAACTCCGCCGGGCAGATCAATGTCAGGATCGACAGTGACTCAGCAGCATGTAGCACAAGGTTGCCAAAAACTACTTCCTGAACTGCTTTTTAGTGGATTTTGAAGCAAACAATTTATTTTTATTCGAGTTGGCGCTAAAAGATTTATTATTGATTAGACTCATTAAAAAATATAATATAAATGCATCAAGATTTTAAAAAGACAATTACGTCGTGCAGGCTTACACAAATAATGTAATCATTGTATAATCACAATTACTAGAGAGAGGCAACTAAACTTAGACAACCACCACTTTTGACGTAACTAAATATGTCTATTAGGAATTTATATATAAAAAAAATCTTCAGAAAAAATCCAATAACCTGAACATTATTTTTGATCTTCAGAACGTCCTTCCCATGTAAATGGTGTAGGGGTACTGACCTTGCTCGAGCTCCACAAAGCCAAGCTTGGCGTAAAACTCATGCAGATATTTCTCCGTTGTCTTGATTTCTACATGACAGCCTGTTGAACCTGTAAGCAATGTTTATGATCTCAAAAAAATTGCAAACATAACCAAGATTTAATCAAATTACCGTGTGCTCTTAAAGAAGCAAATAAGCATATCATGAGGCGTTTAGGGATGCTCTGGTCCAGGACTGATGTGAGCATAGCTGAAGTTAGCAAAGATGGGTTGTGAGCAACAATCGTGTCAGGAACGTCGTCTTTGAAGTGGTAAATATCATCGATCACTTTCTGTAAATTTAAAATTCCATAAAGATTTATCGCTTTCCATTATAGGAATATTTGAGGAAAAATAAAAATAAATAACAAAATAAAAATGCACCTCAGCTGCAGTTTCGCAAGAATTTGGCTTTGGATACTTTTCGCACAAATTGGGTATCCAGGCCATTTCTGTCTTGCGCAAAAAGTCCCTGGCGTCCACAGCTGCCAAAACGTAACCGACAATATCCCAGCCATCCTCAACCACAAAGCAGAACTCGGGACTGAAATTTAGGAAATGGCCAACCATCCTGAGAAATAAAGTATTTAAAATTAAGTCTTCAATTTATGAGAGATCGTACTTGTCTCCAATGAGTTCTGGATACTTTTCAAACTGATCAGTGCCATCCATCCCGTCCATGCAGGTTTTGATACAAACAGAGTAAACGGCTGCCTCGTCCGCGGGCAAGTATGGTCTTATGTTGTAGATTTTATTGCAAGGCACGTCGGGAGGCTTGTACAGAAATAGGTCATTGCTTGTGTCAACTGGTATTTGCCTCTGGTTAATAAATTAAATACATTATTTTTCATGAATAGTATGAAAAAGATAACAGCCTAACCTGTAAATCAGCAATCAATCCTCCACGAAATAGCCATGGTTCTTGCTCCACAGCGTTCAAAACATCTTTTATGGTTTTACAGGAGCCTAAAAAAATTTATTTATCTTTATTTATAATTATCGTTAAGTGAATTTAAATTATTTAAATTTTAGTAACACATTAGATATTAGCATTTTATGGAAATCTAAATAGTGTTAAAAAGCCAAATCAATAATTTTCTTACCTAGCCATTTTATGTAGCAGTTGAGTAAAGAAACCACTCCTCTTATGTCCCAAATATACGGATACAAATCATGCAACAACTCTCGATTGTTGCAATATGAAAGTCGCTGGTAAAGTTGATTCACAGACTCAGTCATCTCGTTAAAGCGTTCAGATCTTTTAAACCACTCTTGAATCTGGTAAGAAAAAAATTATTAGAGTTGATGATTTATTATAATTTTTTTATTATACCTCTGGAGTGTTTAGTTCTCCATCAGACTTATTTTTGGCATGAATCACAGCAACGGCGTTTAACTTGAGCCAAGTGAACTCTTGCAAAAACTGAGCACCTTGCGCTCCGTGTTCAAAGGGAAGGTAGAAAAGCTCACAAAGCAGAATCAAGTCTTCCTCTGTGAGATCTCGATCCTGACCGGTCAAAGTTTCCTCAACAAGCATCGAAGAGCTTCCACCAAGCACACTACTCATCTACAAGCGAGTAATTAATAAAAAACAAACAATACAAATATTTACAAAACTTAATTCAGTAATAAAATAAGTGTCTTTAATGCCAGATTATTTTGTACCTGCATATTTGATGAGCCAGTTGGCGTGACTGAAGCCGAGCAGCTCTCACAACTGACACTGTCAGCCATGGCCACATCTTCGTTTGATGATTTTTTCAATTCCGATGACGAAATGGAAGCAGGGAGTGACGAGTCAGGGGTGGCGTTGATCTCCATTGGCTCTGCATTCTGAGATGCACTTTCGTCACTGCTCACGACCTTTTCATCTGCCACCAAAGAGTTCAAGAAAGCTCCGGTCTGCGGCTGAAATATAAATTTGTCAAAATAGAGCCCAATAATTACAACACGTCAAACTTATTTGGTATACTTAAAACATTTACTTCAATTATTTGCGATAATTAAGATTTAATGTGTCTTTATAATTTATTTAATCAGTTTGATATAAAATGATATACTTTCGATAATTACACTTACAAAACTGCAAACGTCTGCCAGGGTGTCAAGCTGCGAGGTGTGATTAGAAATGGGGACAGCGATACAACCAGTGGTGGTTGAGGTTGTTGTGGTGGTCACGCTGAGGCAAGTATTGACGGTCGGAGGAAAGGCGACAGGCGGGGCACTTGGTGCAATGGTGGTGCAAATGCTGACTGTTGGCATGATCTGCGGCTTTGGCTCGATCGGGCCCCACGCAGGTTTCGGCTTTTTGAACTCTGTCAGCCACTCAACTATGGCGTTGCGGAGGGCCCGACGGGGGTGGTACATTAAGGGAGAAAGGGAGGTGGGCACTTCCTCCGCTACCCCATCTTCAGTCTCTATCTCCAACTTGATGTCTGCACTGACAGGATCATCTAGAAAAGAAAATTTTCTAAATTAATTGGATTTTTTTTCTCTAAACATTTCATTATAAAATAGTTCAATACAACTTTGTTTATTATTTTTAATTTCATTTAAATATAGAAACATTTTATCTTGTGATTTGCGAATTGTAAGTTAGAGTTAAAAAATTTACTTACTCAAACTGAGATCAACTTTTCCATCCATGCTGCAGCGACTCCACTGAGCCAAAGTGTGAATGGCCACAAAATTGGCTCCGTACTCGCAGTTCGGGTTGGTGAGGACGCCCCTGAGTTTCCGCATCAAGTCGGGACTCCTGCCTGCATATGGCCCAAGGAAGACTCTCTTCTGGTCATAATCATTGGCGTGCAGGTTGTCCCAAATTATGGGAGGCCTCTTCAGCACATCCGTAATCTCTTCTATCGACTCAAAAGTCAGCAATCGAGAAATCACTTTCGGTCCTAAGTATAGTAAAAATTATGTTTTAAAAAAATTTGTGAAAATTCCAATACGCTAGTCTACCTGTCCACATAACATCAATTTCTGGCAAAAGTTTAGAACCTATCGTGTTTAGATACTCGGAAGCCTTGACGTCAGGAACTGCTCGAGCAGCACAATACTGCGTTGGGCACAACATAAATTTTGGCTGCCCAAGGTGTTGGAAGATTTCATTAGTCACAGAAACCTGAAAAAAGAAAATTAGAAATTTCATCAAGATATAATTTAAATTCATATATAATAACATTTAAGTTGTAGTTTCTGTAAGTAAAGTGTTAGAAAATTAATTTAACTTTAATTTCTTGAACCATTTTAAATAAATTATAAAAAAAGTTTAATATTATTAATTATGTTTGATTTAAAATTAATATTTCTTTATCTCTAATTTTGCTAAATTTCTTTACTTGTGCGTGTGCGAAAGACTGGAAAACTTCTTTGTCAGCCTCAGACATTTCGGGTTCGATGTCGTCAAAAAGCAGAGCAAAGGCCTGGCAGCCAAACTGCGAGACCTGCTCCAACTTCCTCTTGAGAGCGGCCACCTCCTTGACACTTGAGTAAGTGATGTCCAGCCCAGGAGAAATGGCGTAGTAGAAGGTGATGCCGCTCTCTTTGGCCGCCGAGACTAGGGCAGTGAGATGCTCAGCCTCCTCGACCGAGTACAAGTCGCGCCAGTACGCCCTGTGCTTGTAGTCGTCCTTTGGAGCGTACAGGTACGAGTCCATCCCCCACTTTTTCATTCTGATGAAAATGAATCAAATTAGTGGAAAAATCAAACTTGTTAATTTCGCCTACTTCACAAACAGATCCTTCCTCTGTTCGCTCGTCCATGGCCGTCCGTAAAAACCTGAAGATAAAAACTTGAAATTTTTAACAAATTCTATTTCTTTAAATAACAAATTTTCAAACCTTCGACGACTCCGCAGACAAATCCGCTGTTGGCACTCTTTTCGGCGTTCGCCCCTCCATCATTTTTCGCTTCGACCTCGGACATTGGGTGGCTTCCGTTCAACAACCCGAATTTGAAAAACTCAGACCTTTCCTGCAATGCAATTGTTACTGACAGAAAAAGGAGAATTTCCGCAAGCTTACGGAGATTCGAATCAGCGTCGGTGCATTGCCAAAATCACGAAATTTGCAAAACCATCTGGTCAATGGTCAATTTCGCCGGCTGCGGACGGTGGCCATATGTTTTGATTTATAATTTTAGGGGCGCGGCCAGCTACCCCACTCAAGATTTTGGATTGAAAAAGCAGCGGCAAAAGAACGTGGCCCGCTGGAGGAGGGGCTGAGGAGGGGTTTCATCAAAACAAAACATAAACATAAGAAAAATCTTGTTCCAAAACTATCAAAAAATCAACCTGACCCTAACCAAATTTTTGCAAATCGCAGTACGGCGAGTCCATTAATAATTACTGAAGTCGCCCCTGACACATTTGATTGATTTACTTTTTTCAGGTCTCATCAGCTTGTCGGCAAACTTCGACAAATCTCCGAATGGAACCCGATTGAAATAATATTATTATTGTTGCCTGCAGCTGTTTTGAAGGAAGGTGCAATTAACGAAATTGCTTGCGAATTCAAGTTCGTGGTATAAAAAGCGCTCCGTGCCTCCGTGTATAGGTAGGCCCTACGAGTCAGGCATACATAATCGGGAAACCTTTCTCGTTTCCCAATTTGGAAGCCACTTTTTTATTACATACTGGTCTTGCTTTGGCTTGCTTCAAAAACTCATAACGCTGCTTTCTAACCTCACTGCACTTCCATCTATTTTTTTTTTTCGATTTATACATCTTTTTTCTTCAACTGCAATAAGACGGTAAAAATGAAATATAATTTTCATAATTTTAGTTTTTCAGACGTTTGATTAGATTTAAAATTAAAGTAACCTTTCAATTTTTAATAAACATAATTTTCTAGAGTAAATAACTTTAATAACGCATCCAAACTTCTAATAAAATTGGAATCTTATGAAGGACCTTGTGTTTTTTTTAACAATAGTAATCTGCACTAAATAAGATAATTTTTACTATCACTTAATAATCTTTAACAATCGACTTCCCCCCTAAGCCTTTTTAACTCTCAATCACAGCCTCTGACAATGCAAAGATTACTTTCTTACTCGTCACAGACAGGAACAACTCGCACAATGGTTTTGCTTGCTGTTTGTTCGCTTTTGCTTCTTCTGCCATTTGGTGAGAATTCGACAACACATTAATTTCATTACTTTTATTTAAAATAATATTCATAATTTGTTGAAAATTATCACACATTTCTTTAAACAATCTTTCAATTTTATATCAGGAATGGCTGCCAGAAGTGCAAGGGCGCCGGACGTCCCCGAGTATTTTCCCGAAATCGAAGGTGACCTGAGCAACGTCACCTGGTCTCATGCGACTAACAGTTTGGCAAAACTTGCGGCTGCAATTGAAGATCGTAATATAATTGTATGTTTTTCAATTTGAAAATTTATTAGACATTTTGAATAATTTATAGCTGGAATGATGATGCTGGAGGCGGACGTCCTTCTTGGAATTGTTATCGGAGGTGGCCCAGAAAAAATACCAATTATGGCCCATCCTCCAGACACAGAGTCTGACTTGTCCTTGCAAATTTTTTTGGACGAAGTTATTTTGGCCAATGCTAATGGCAAAAGGAAAGGCATAAAGTTGGACTTCAAATCTCTGGAAGTTGTGCCAATCGCCTTAGAAATGCTTGGATCTCTTTCTAATCAGGTATAATTTTAATATTTTTTAAGAAGCTAAAAAAAATTTAAAAATAAACTTTTAGATGGGCTTTCCAGCCTGGTTGAATGCAGACATACAACAAGGCCCTGTGAACAGCACAAGAATTCCAATTGATGCCAATCAGTTTTTAAGAGAATGCAAATTAAATTTCCCGGAGAGCACCCTTTCCGTTGGTTGGACAACCAGATATGGCATCGACACATTTCCACCTATTGTTTCTGGAGAATATTCTATGGAAATGGTAAAATATTACAACATTTTTGCCCCTAACAAATCATTTTGGAAATAAAAATTATAATTTTTTCTTTTAATCGAATTCAAATTTGTGTTAAATATACATAATATTTTCTTTTTCTGCAAATTTTATTGACTTTGTATATAGGCTGACGCAATGATAAAGGCGCTCTCTGACAACCAAATCATCCAGCCAGTGACATTTCCTGTCAGGGCGAGTCTCACTGCCCACTCGGAAAAAGTTATCTTGCGCCTCCTCAGTGAGGTCCAGTACAGTACCCTGACTCTGTGGGGTCCAGAGACTGACTACGTCGACGTTCCGGCTTTGATTCAGGTTGTGCAAAGTGTTGGAAGGAAACGAGTTTACATGGACATTCCGGAAAAGTTGAAAAATCAGATTGTTAATGCAGTTGATCCTGCTAAAAGTAGTGGGCAGAGAGGCACATTGTTGAGCAAGGTTATGACTGTTGCCCTATCACTGTTTGCGGTTTTGTAATTTATAAAATAAAATTAAACAAGTAGTTCTTTTTTATTAATTCTTGTTTATTCACTTAGAAGAAATTTTCGTACAACTTGAGCTGAGCAATCATTGTTAAATGTCACATTTGCTTATGAGAAATCTCTCATGCTCCTGTTTATGAACTTTTTTCATAGCATTGTTCTCACAAATGTCTGAACAAAATAGATTGACATCAGGATACTCCTCTTCACAAAGACACTCCTGACAAATTCTAAATTCCTCTACATCAACTTTTCCACACCACCGACAATGTTTCACTGGGAAGAAACTTATTTCTCCTCTTTTTCTCATTCTTACATGAAAATGGGAACTTACATTTTTAAGTATTGGGGCATAAAATTTTGAAGCATTGGTTTTTGCAAACTCAAAAGACACAAGGGACAGATCTTGGCGTTTTGAATCATTGAACCACTTTTGACAAAAAACCTGCTTTGTCTCCCAAGGGTCCCTCCGCAGGATTCCAAATACAGACCTTTCTAAATCATCCAGAGGCTCCAATGATTTGAACTCCTCTTTGAATTTTGTCTGTTTTTCGTCACTAATGTTTTCTAATATTTGATATATCACAACACCAGCAATTTGATTCAATGATAGATTTTTGCAATCAAATATCGATTCATACTTTGACTGTTTTCTAGACAATTTAGAATCCAGAATGTCAATATAAGCTTCAATTTCAAAACTAAAATCCTTTTCATTTCTTTTCCAAGGAAGGAGATTAGTAATTGCTGTGACAAAATACCACAAGACTTCGTATGTGGTTTGCATCGCAGTGTCAGAAGCAAAGTTATCAGCGGAAACCTTCAAAGAAAGGGCCAATTTGGACAAAAATCTATATGAGTGTCTTGAACTAATGGCAAAATTTTGCTCCCAAATTTTGTCTGCGTATTCGAAATCCAGAACATAGTAATAACGCGTGAAAATGTCCAGCTGCTCTGTAAAATACGAATCGAGCAAGGGAGCTTTGTCTTCTTCAAAGAGTCTGTTGTACTCGGATTCGACGCAGCACAGTTTCCAGCGGATCAGTTCAGTGATTTCAGTGACATGAAGGGTTGGAAACAAGGCCAAAATACTCGGGATATGGTGGCCACACCACTTTGGAGAAGTGACGCATTTTGAAACATCATAGTTGGAGAGCAAAATGTAAAGAAAAAATCTGTACTTTTGGAGCAATTTTTCTGAGGCCCTCGATTCGTTGTCTGTTGCAAGAAACTGGTAGGCAGCGACGAACCAAGGCAAAACATAGTTGACAAGGGTTGTTTCGTATGAATATTCAGGCTTCCACTTTTCCAACAGTTGTTTTTTCAGCAACTGGACGACGGTTTCTTCAATCATGTACTGTGAATAAAAAAATAATATTTAATATAATGTAAATAAAATATTGAATGTTATAAACTTACATTGAACCCTTGAATTAAATTTGCAGTGCTGAGACTATTCAGGTTGTACCGGAATACTTTGATAGGTTTTATTATAGGCTGTAGAAAATCAAAATGGTCCTTCAATCCAATATTCCATCGTTCATGATACAATGCCAATGAATTTAAATAGCTAAGGATTTCGTTAATTAGCGCTTCCTTATGTGAACGGCTTAAAGTTGGTAATGAGAGTGATGGCTCTAGTTCAACAGTGAGTTTTGCCCTTCCCAATATGAAAGTTTTGAAAAGAGCCAAGCAATATTGTCTGTGCACTTCTCCCTCGGCAATGTGAATGCTGTGGTATGGGCCAAAATCACTTTTGCAAACGTCATAGGCATCTGAGGGGGAACAAACATTGTTAAAAATGTTATACATCCAGAACTCAAAAAAACTTTTTAATTTTTAATATATCAAGGTTCACACAATAGAAAATTTCGATTGTTGCCGAGCGCTCTGATTGGGTGCAAGTTTACTTGCACCCAATCAGAGAGCTCAAACAACAATAAAAAAAAAATTCAATTGTTCTGATGCGCGAACCTTGAAATATATTTAAAAGTATAGTTTCATACATAACTTCAGAACAGAGAAAAATATGTTTTAAAATAAAATTTCAGAATTTACTAATTAATATTGGAAGTTTAAATAAATTACCAATTTCAAAAATTGATTGTTAATAAACAAACATTGATAACTGTACCTTTACGCTCCATAATATCTTCATAAAGTTTTGAAAATATAGAATTTTCCTGTTTCAATAGGTCCTTGATGAAATATTGGTTACTAGAATCATCTTCTGTCAGCCAGACAAGGTCGCTTTTTGAGCCTTCCTCCATTATTACTTTTGTTAGCTCATCCTGCTCTCTATTGCTCAATTTTGTTTTATATTTACTAACGTCATCTTTTATTCCAAGGTCCGGATTTTCAGAGTTACGTTTCCAAAATAGGACGTTCTTGTTTAATGTTGGCACGGAGCATGGCACTTCTTCCAATCTTACACTTTTTAACGAGCTTGGATCAAATATGAATGAAGCCTTAATAAGATTGTCTAGCTGGTGGGTATAGCCACAATCAAACGAGTCCAAGATCTTCAGAATATCTTGAACGCATGAGACAAACTTCTTTGCTCCGAGCAATAAAATCCTCTTGCTTTGGTCTTGCTCCGGATGACACGTGGTCAGTTCATGCAAATAATCAAACATAAGTTTGATCTGCCCTAAAAGGCTTCCAGCTCTTTCTGAGAGATACTTTGCAAGCGACTCAATTTCAGGATAGCGCCCGGCTACTGGCCTTGAATTCAGTTTTGCTTGAATCACCAGATACTGGCCGTACGCAACCATCAGCCATTGGTGCAAGAGGACAGGGTTGTACATCATTTGCAGGATAATCAATTTGTCAAAGAGAAAATCGCTGACATGCACTGCACTGCACTCATCAAAGCGGGGCTGAAAAAAGTACAAAAATAAGTAAAATTAAAACAACCGGATTTAAACTTCAATAATACCATGACATTTCTTTTAAGTTCCAAAAAATAATCCAGAATATTAGATTCCAACAACTCTTCGCAGTTTTCCTCCTGGGTTGCAGTTTTGGAGAATTCACTGGAGTGAGCGCAGCTTGCCCAGAAAAAATAAAGAGCGCTTCTCATACTTTCCAGCGGATTTTCAATTTTTTCTTCCGTTAGTTTAAACGCTTTTGAATGAAAGCTGCAAATCAATATTTTGAGAGTTTTTTAATTAATTTAAAAAAAAATCCACTTACATAGGAGGCAGAAAGTAAGGCATGGCGTGAGTCCAAACTTTGTACATGAACAAGTTATATCCTTGGATTTCCTCTTCAGGAGACAACAAGTATTTCGAGATGGTGGCCACATCCTCCGTCCTTAGGGTATTCGGATTTGTGGTTGATCCAGAAGCGATCCATGGTATTTTAGCTGCCGAGAAAATATTCTTACTCTCGTCCCGATCGCAGAGCCTGACAAATAAAGATTCATCCTTGTCATCATCCACGGCACTGTCAGCACTTGATTCCTCTGGATTCTCTTCAGAGCTCATTATCCTGCTGTGAAAAACCTATTGATAAATAAGAAAAATTTGTATTGCTATTTTTTTTGGTAAAATGAAAACTGAAAAGTAAGATATTTTATATTGAAGCTTAAAAGGAAGAATTATAAATCATAATGGTCTAAATTTACAACCCCCATATCAAATAATAAATATTGAAGTGCTAAAATTTTAATTACCTTGATTTTTTTCAGACGTTCAATTCAAAACACGGCAATTTTTGTTGAAATTTAGGGAAGAAAACTAGTCACGAGAAACGCACGCCTGTTTGTTATGATGCATGTTCCATTTTAGCCATTTTATTCCATGTGCGCGGCCTGCGCGGCGGGAAGTTGTAGTTCCACCTCCAGAAAAGGGGGCTTAGGGGGCAGCAGGTTATGGTCAACCCTTCTTGTTAAGGCGGCGCGGGGAATGGGAACCACGTGCAGGTGCAAAAGGTGCATCATGGATTACACACTTTTTACGCTTTTTACAAAGGGTTTTAATTAATTGTTAAAAAATTTCTATTCCAAAATGATTCCAAAAGTGCGTATTTTTTTCTTCAGTAATTTCATGCCACTTTATTCATTATTTCAAAACAAGACCCAAGGTAAATATTTTGCCTAACTGAAATTTCAAATTTCAGTTCTACAAGCTAAAGAGATTTTGAATAATCAAAATACAGAATTATATTTAAAAAAAAGTAATATCAATATGTAAAGGATAAGTTTATCATACTGAAAAAAAATCTTTTAAACAATGTGGTTTTAGAATTTTTAAATATGTACGTTTTGCTGAAAAATGTCAAATTTGATTATTTTGGCAGCGATAAATAAAACATAATATAATATTTCTTTTAAATTTCTATCTAACAGTTCATTGTTATGATTTTCACATGAAAAGGTGATTTTATTTTTTAAATAAGTTTAAATTGTAACTAGGATGAAATGTTCTCAAAACGGAATTTTCTGGGACCAACTAAAACAGCCCTGAAAATTCGGACGAATATGCTGGCCTCAAACGACACTCAAATTTTGATGACTGGAAGCTGTTGCGATGAATAGGAATAGATAATTATGACAGGAGTGCAAATCTAATCTAGCTGCGTGGAGAAAATATGGGCCGTGTCGTGTGGTCTCAATATTTCGGGCAAAAATATAGCCCAGCTCAAAATCATTCATAATATAATTTATTTAAAGTCGGGTCTCAATTCAGTGTTGCCGATTTCAAATATATTAACACCAAAACTGTTTTGCTAGAAGGATTAAAAATAAGAACGGTGAAGGATGAGCTCCAAATGATTGCTAAAATGACAGATTCTGAAATCGTAGTTTCCGCAAAAAAATTATTGGCTGTACTTACAGATTCCTCGTTTCACTAAATCCAGGTTGACCATATCCGGTTCAATTGAAAGGAAACTGGAAGAATAATATTAATTATATTATGATTTTTAATTTCAAAACCTGGAATGATTAATTTACAAAATCCCCATCGATAAAAATTGATTCGTTTTTGAAAATTTTTTACATTGCTTTTTTATGTAAATTCCTAGAAATTTGTAGGAGCTTTTTTTTCAAATTAAAATTATGTTCAACAAAAAGAAACACACTTCGTAGTTTCATCGGTGTTTGGAGGTCTCTAATTTTGGGTATCCATATAAGTAAAGTTGCACCCAATCAGAACGCTCGACAACAATGAAAATTTGCTCTTTTATTTTTTTATTTTTTTGATACGCAAACTTGCTAACTTCACGGTAAATTATCAGACTTAATTTGTGTCCCTTCGAAAGAAACATTGAATTTTATCTCTCTCTGTCCAACCAGGGAATTTCAAGATTTACAAGACGTGTTGTTTGTCTAGTATAGATAAACGAAAATATAAACCAACAACACATTTCGCGGTTTTTACCTTGTTGTCGCTCTCGCAGTCTCCACACGACGTAATTTTCGGCGATCTCCCTCTTTTCCAACGTTCTTCGGCACAAATGCCCACTAACTTCACATTTAACAAGCACTAATTATCACAAAATTCAATAAGAACCACTGCAAAATCCAAATCACACGTGCGAACTCAGCAAAAATCGCGCAGCACTGAAATGAAATTCAAGCAATAATAGTGGGGTGGGGGAGGGGGCTGTGATTGTCTCTGGTGGTGATCGAGTCGCTCCACGATGCAGCAAAAGTGGGATAGACGTGTTGAAACTTGTCTTTTGGGCGAGTTTGAAGGAATGCCAATCTCATGTTTACGGAATTGGGGACTGCGAAGGAATGATGAGTCATAGAGGAGAGACACAAATTGTCAATGAATGAAAATAGTAAAATGAGATCAGAAAATATAAATTTGAATAAATTCTGAATGACAATTTGAATTGATATAACTATAATAAAATACTGCAATAATTTATTATCTTTAAATTTTTCTTACAATGAATGACAATAAATTACATAATGGTAAAAAAAATAATTAACTCTTTTTCTTAGATTTTTGTTATGTTATAGCCGTTACATTTAAATTTAGTTTAATTAACAGAAATTATTTTCCAATTTACTTTTCATTTTGTTACATACCTTTATTTCGAATTAAAATCATATTCCACTTGCAAGTCACTGAATGATTTTCTATAATTCTATATTGTGCTATTTTTTATAAATTTATATTTTACAAAACATTTAAAGGTCTTCCCACATTTTAATTGCGGGCGCAATCTTTGACTTTCCCTAAGAGTTGACATTTTGTGAAAGAATTTTCATAATAATGCTATTATTTTTCAATTAAAATTTTCCAGTTCTTGATTAGAGAAATTGCAAGACTTAAATATTTTCAAAAAATAATAATTACATGTTGTAATTTTGAGCTCAAAAACGCTATGAAATCATTTTTATTGCACAGTTAAATTACGAATTGTACTCTTATTCACCATTAGAATATAGATGCATGGAATGTAAAATAACAAAACATTTCTTATACTATTCTTAGCGAAATGCAATGAAACTTTGCGAGGGCCGAGATTAATCCTAGATGAGTGTAAAACGCAACCCGCTGTACGGAACTGTCGTGGCGGTGGCCTAAAAATTATGGATTTTTTGAAACATAATTTTTCAGACATTAGGCAAATTTAATAAGATACTATAAATAATCAAGATTTATAAATTATCTTAATATCACTTAAAATATTTTCCGACTTTTTTATTTGAAAGGCATTTATCAAAACAAAAAAAATTTATATTAAAATTTTCTAATTTTAGCCTCAAAATGAGATTTTGACATTAAATTTGATTGACTTTATTTGCGTTTTATAACAGAGAATCGACTGGCAGGTGTGTTGCATAAAATCAAGGCGGCGCAGTTTGAAAAACGGTAACCTTGGCGACCTTGCGACAAACAAAGTAAAATTAGAGTCTCGTCGAACACTTGGAGAAAAAGTGGATTGCATTGTGGATCACGAACATGGGTGAAAAGCAAGAAGAACGAGAGGCGAAAGTCAAAGAGAACTTCAAACGATGGCTACAGAAGAAAAACCAGGAGATGCTCGAGATCAAGTCGAGACAATTGGAACAGGAGACGCTTCTGCAGATCGAAAAGGAGGAAAAGTTGGAAAAGATCGAGGCCGCCTTGGTTGAGTGGAATAAGGCAAAGGTAAACATTAAATTTTTATATTTTTGTGGGACGTTTCAAACAAAAATTTTAGGCCAAGGAAATGAGGGAGAAAATAAAACAGGAGCAAGAGAAGAAAGCAAAAGAGCGAGACAAAAAACAGCAGGAAGAATTTGAAAAGGGACAAAATGCCAATTTAGTGAGTTTTATAATAATTAATTTATTCAATTTATTGAAATTTACTTGCATTGTTCCCATAAATATTCTAGGCTTTCCAATCCTGGCTGAAGAATGTCAAAATGATGGACCAAAAAACGAAAGAGAAGGAGTGGAAAAAGTTAAATGCCGTGGAAAAAAGACAAATCCAAACAATGGAGAGGAAGAGCGAGGCTGAAATGAGTTTTGGCGTTTGGAAGAAGAAAAAGGACCAGGAACTGCTTGTTCAAATAAGAAAAGCAAAGTATAAACGTCTTTGATGTCAAACTGGATTTAAAATTTAATTTAAAGCAGGAAATTGAAAGAAAAGGCTGAAAGGGAAATGAGACAAAAACTAGAGGAAAGATCCTATGAAGCCGAACAAGCTTATTTGACTTGGCTCGACTCTCTGGATTACAGTTAAAAATTATTAAGGTTGTTGTTACAAATGAAAAACAGTTGTTCTAAATAAATTCAGAAATGCTTATGTGTATTTTTGGACTCGTATTTTCATACTTCTTGGATTCCATTCTACATCGCAACTATATTCCTTATTACATAATATCTAACATTTGATTGCGGATAATAAATTTCAATAACATTGTAAATACTTCTCAAACAATATTATATATAATTTCATCTTACTTTTGCCATAGAGTTTGAGCTAATCTCCTTCCATTTGATTAAAATAAAAAAATTATCAGAATACGCTCTGTACACATACTCAAAACTCACAACATCATAAAAGAGATCTCTGATTTTCGTAAAATTATTGAAAAGTTCTTGTGAATAATTAAGCAGCAATCATTCTGCGCGAATTCACAAGTACCAGCATTCTGGGGAAGAAAATTCTCCCGAGTCAAAAAAATTAAATTAGTTTCACGTTTCACAAAAGCACTTTGTTTGCAATACTTAGAAATGGAGCTGGCAATAAATAAATTAATCTTACTGCTCATATATTCAGTTTAAATTTTCCATGTACATCAAACAGCTATTTATATTCGATTATTCTACAATTATGTTAATGCATTAATTATGGCAACAATGGCAGACTGGAAATATATTATGGGAAATATCAACCAAAACAATTACTGTATAAATGAGATTCGTCCCAGGTATATGAAAATCTTAAGAAGCTGTGCCGAAATCACAAGCGCAAAATTATGTCAGTTCAAAAAAAAAAAGTACAAAACTTTGATACGCAGTACAAAATATTTTGACGAGAAAGTATTATAAAATAAAATGAAAGATGATTTGCGATCAAAAAATAAGTTAGTATACAACACATGCACACATGCACTACTTTCTATGTTTATTTAAAATTAATAATTATTGCATTACCCATCATCGGAAATCCCTGCCAGACTAGCAAGCAGACATAAACCCCCTGTCGGTCTCTCTTTCGTTTTGAGATAATTAATTTTTGTTTGAAGCCAGAGACTCGATGTGGGCATAACAGTCGAACCAACGTCAGAATTAAATATTTGCACCGTTCGGAAGAAAAGTAGTCACAAAAAAGAAAGGCGAGAGCAAAAATATCTATGAAAAATCAACAGGGGAACATTTAAATTTAATTGTTTATAAATAGAAAAACAATATCTAAAGTTTTAAAATTATGAAAAAAGGAGATTTTTAGTGTAAAAATTATCATCTATTATTAAAAAATTTTGTGGTGAATTTCATTAAAAATGGCAAACAAAAAATGTAATTCTTTTTCATTATTTAAAAAAAGTATCTAAATTTATGAAATTTGATAACTACTAAATCAGTCCTTAAGCATTAAAAATAATTCCCTCTTAGTTCATAAGTTTAGCATTGACTGATATTTCTAATTTTTGTTGTTCCATTTTGTGACGCGCAATCAATTCATTTTCTTCCGCTCAAGCAAAACCTATTATCTGTCTAACTACGAGATGGAAGTCCTATCTCTTCCCTGTTCAGTCGCTTTTTTTGTGGTGTCTCCGGCGCTGCTGTCGGTGTTGCCTCCGTTGGCGCAGGGTGGTCGGCGCCTCCGGCGCCTCCTGGTAGCACCCAGTCATGTAGCGCCAGGAGGCCTGCAAGTGTGGAGAGATCGAGGCGCCGGCCATCACGCTGCACTCGCGGATGTACGCCTCAATCACCTGGCAGTGACAATGCGAGTTGCCCCCTGACCGGTCACGGCACATGCACATCTCGTTCAGACAGGCTCTGCAAAAAAGAAACAATTGCAAAATTTTAATTTGTACTTTTTCCCTTAAGATTTTTATAATTTAAATTTCTAAAATAAATGTAGAGGAAGATAATTTTTTTTACAAAAATGGCAAGCTTTAATGTAAAGTTCTGGCACTGGTAAAGAATTTTCTTTTCTTTATTTGTAGTTCCTACAAAATATAAATTACCAAAATTTTCTAGTTTCATATGCCCTTCTAAATGAACAATCGGGGTTAGAGGTTTGTTCAATGAGGGGTGACATAAAATATTTTAATTAATTATGATATCAAGGCTGTTTTTTAATAAATGTTTTTCCTACTTAATATTTGATAAGTAATTTTGAGAAAATTTTTGTTTAAAAAATATTTCCATTTAAAAATTTAAGGGGGGAACTCACTTGTAATATCTCATGGCAGGCACCACAATATGGCACTTTTTGAAGATGTCCGACCGAATGGGCATGCACTTCCTGTAGTCCCGATGGTGTTTTTTAGAAGAGGCCGAGCAGCCCTGCTCCTGTCTGGTCACCGCCAGCGCCGTCGAAGACCCGCCGCCAGCCATTCGGTGACTTGGCTGGTGGCTCTGCACATTCCTGGTGCAACTCTTGAGGCCCCCGGCGCGCCAACTCTCCACAAACTCCTCCGCTTTGGCGGTGCGTCCGCCGTGCTGCAGTTCAAAGTCATCGCCGGGCTTGCCGTTGAAGTTTCCGCACAGTCCACAAACCTTCGAGTGCATGCTCACCGGCACCGAGATTTCCAGCAAGGAGTGACCGTTCCATGCCAATTTCAACCCTGATTATTAAAAGAGATTGCAATTTTGAATTAATTTTATAATGAACATTTATTTACCAATATTTGTAGTGAGGGCGACGTATTCGCCATCCTTCTTCAGTTCAAGAACATCATTCAGCTGGAAGGGTAGCTTGTCCACCCTCTTTCCATCCACCTTCACTCGTAATCTTTGGCCTAAAGTTACTTTGTGTTCAGCAAGCTGAAATCAAAATTTAAAAACAAATAAATATTATAGAGAGTTGAATATTTTTTTTTTTTTTTATCAAAAAAGTTAATTTCAAGCATAAAAAGAGGATTTGGATGTTTTGATTTCCTTGTTTATAAAATTATTAAAAAATGTCTTTAGTCCAATTTTTAAGAAAATTATACCCCGACTTGAACAGTAACTAACTAGGGAATTTTATCCAATTATTTTAACTAATTACCTTAACAGTAACAATTCTGCCAAATTCTCCATTGAGGTCGGCAATAGGAGCTGTAGACATTCTGATGGAAAAGGTCCTATTTCCCGAACAGTCTGTCACCACTTGGTATTTGCAGCTCCCATGGAAGCTGAAATGACGATCGTCGAAGGTCTTGAACTGGCCTCCAAAAACGTAGCACCTTCCCTCTCCTGTACATCAATTAAACCATGAAATAAAAGATGACAATGAACAAATTTCTACTCACTTTCTATGCACTCAGGGCAGCACTGGTCAGGCAACTGCCGGAGGTAAAAGTTGCGTTTGCAGTAAGCTGTCTGCAGCATTAGTTCGGACGGCTCGTGAGGAACTTCAGTTTGCAGTCTGATGGCACATTCGGCCTTGGCGCATTTCATCTCGCCCTCCACACACTGGCAAGCCACACACTTTCCTCTCTTGAAGGATGCACCACTCTAATTAAAGATACAAATATTTAAGAATAAATTTGGCTGCAAAAAAATCTACGAATTGAAATGAGAAATGGCTTTCGGGGAGCTGCGACAACGAACGTCCGAATCAATACAACGACCGAAAAGTCAAGATCACGTGCTCCCTGGACCGGGACAGAAGCCCGGCGCCAAGACGTTGTCATCGTGCCAGCAGGCAATCCAACCATGGTTCTACCACACGCTCAGACCAGCGGCCAATCGGCCCAAACGCAGGGTGCGGCAGACAAGGGCCAAGGACTTCCCTCATCTCTGAGATGTGTCCGAGGCCCTCGTATTGCGCGCCCCACAGTACTCTATTGGAATGCAGGAGGCATATCCAAAACAAAATTTGCTGAGTTTCTTTTGCTGATTAAGAACGAATGTGCTGATGTCTACTGCATTTCAGAAGCAGGAAAGCACGCCAAAAAAGACTACCCAGGACTGAAAGACCTCAAAGCTCCAGGTTACAGCCTTCACATCCTGGAAGCTGCGAGGCCAGGCAACAGACAAATAGCCTGTGGAATGATTGTTGGAGTCAAGGACGACCTGGTCTCAAATTTCAAAGTGATCAGAACAATGAGCAGTCACCCAAACGACATAGTTGAGATAGCGTCCCTCGAAATTTGGATGGAGAAGACCAAGACCACCATCATCATGGCCTACAATCCTCCAAATAATATGCCAATGGCCTTCGAGGACCTTCTCATCACAGATAGCACCATCATCATTGGTGACCTGAACGCTCCGAACACAGAATGGGACTACAGAGCCACTACTCCCGTGGGCCAATACGTAGAGGAGTTCGCTGCAGCAAACGCCCTCCTACTACTCGACCCTGACGACGATGACCGTTTCACAAATCTGACCACAAATGGGGTGAGGTCAAGACCTGACCTTGCCCTAATCCACAGCTCCCTCTCTGACCAAATCTCGCAAAATAATTTCATCTGTGGCTCCGGCCATAAAGTAATAAAGCTTTTCCCAACAAACCCTTTTCGACGGAAACCCCCCCAGCTGGCCAGATGGAACTTCAAAAAAGCAAACTGGACTACCTACCAGGATGAGCTGGAGAAATTAGCAGCAGAGCACACGCCTACAGCAAACCCTCATCGGGAAGCCGGAGAGCTGGTGCAGATCATTCTAAAGGCCGCTGTAAAACACATCCCTAAGGGCACTGTCAAGGATTTTCGCCCTTTCTGGAATGAGCAGCTGGAGGAGCTGAGAAAGAACAAAATGGTACTCGCAAAGTTAGTAAACAACGAAGAGGATGAGGTGGTTCGCTCCTGGATCAGAGAAGAACTAAAATTGGCAGAGAAAACTTTAACAGCTGAAATAGGAAAAGCTAAGGAGCAAAATTTTCAAAACTTTGTCGCCAGCCTGGATTACAAGGACGATGCCCTGAAAGCTCACAGGCTCTTCTCCCAACTCTGCGGCAAATGGAGCCAGAAGGATGACAGAAACTCTCCACTCATACTGGCAAACCACACAGCAACAACCCCAAAAGCTAAAGCTGATCTCTTCGTAAAACACTTTGCCTCTGCTAGTACCCCCGCTCGTAAAAGGAAAAAGAAACTGAAAAATATCACATACAACCCTGCTCTGATTGACCCTTTCAACTCTCTCTTCACCGCCCCTGAACTTGAACTTGCCATCCACACACTCGATTTAAGGAAAAGTCCTGGCGAAGACGGAGTTCACCCCGAATTCCTGAAACACTCCGGACCTCTCTTTAGACAACATCTGCTCAACCTCATAAACACTTCTTGGATAGGAGAAGTCCCCCAGCCATGGAAAACAGCAATAATTACTCCAATTCTTAAACCTGACAAAGATCCTCTCATGCCATCCAGTTACAGACCGATTGCACTGACAAGTGTGCTGGCCAAGACAGCGGAGAAGATGGTCAACCTGCGGCTAGAAACCTATCTGGAGGAAAATAAAATCATTCACCAGGAACAAGGAGCCTATAGGAAAAACAGAGGCACGGAGGACCAAGTCGCCTTTATTGTCCAGTTAGCTAAAGAAGGCTTTGCAAAACAACAGACAACAGTAGCCGTGTCCATTGACCTCTCAGCAGCTTTTGACGTTACGGATAGAAGTCGAGCCATCTACGAAATGCAAAACTACGGACTCCCAAACAACATCATCAAGTGGACCAACGACTTCATAAACAATAGACGCATTAAAGTTGCCTACAAAGGAGTAAAAAGCAAGACAAGAGTGACCAGAGCCGGAGTTGCACAAGGCACAATTCTGGCCCCCACAGTTTTCAAAATTGCAACAAATGGGGCCATCAAAATCATTAAACTCCTCCCGGGTCTCTACCTCATTGTCTACGCAGATGACTTCCTTCTGATGGCCACTGGAAAAGACGTAGGTGCACTCCAAATCTCCCTCCAAACAGGTGTCCGGAATTTGGTAAATTGGCTGCAAGTCCACGGCTTCAAGATTAACCCTGATAAATCTTGCTACTCCATCTTCTCTTTCAAGCACTCTGACCCCACACTCTCAATAAAAATAAATGGACAAGAAGTGAAGGAAGCGCAGTTGACATACCTCGGAGTCACCCTAGATAAAAAACTCACCGGCCGGGCCCACTTCGAGAAGGTCGCAGAAAAATGTAAAAAAAGGCTACGTCTCATGCAACGCTATGCAGGAGCAAAATGGGGCGCCAGACCAAGTACCCTTAGAACTACCTACCTCACATATGCGAGACCTGTACTTGAGTACTGCACCGAGATTTTCATCACAGCCTCTAAAGAAGCAATCAGCACCCTTGAAAAAGCCCAAAACCAAGCCCTTAGACTGATAAATGGCGCCTACAAAACAACATCAATTGCTGCCATGGAGATCTACGCTCGAGTTGAACCTGTACAGGAGCGAATGGAGGCACGAGCGGTCACTCTTCACGAGAAGCTCGTCCGACTAAACCCCAGATGGCTCAACTTCCCAGAACCAGCAGCGAAGGGGCACACAAACTTTGCCCAAAAAGCCACATCCCTGAAGGCCAAATACTGTCCGGAAGTCTTCGACCACCCACGCCAACCACTTCCCCTGCCATCCGTAATTCATACTCAAAACCAAACTGCCTTCTTAAACCCTCTGCTCCAAATAGATCAACTAGGCAAAAAAGGCGAGCAGCCAGCTGAAGAGAGACAGCGCCTCACAGAAGACCATCTGTCCAGGCACTTTCCTATCAGTGACTGGGTGCACATCTATACCGACGGCTCCCAGGACAACGCCACAGGCAACACTGGCTTTGGTCTGCACTGCTTCGCCTTTCAAGAATCCCATCCGATGCCTCCAGGCTCTAGCTGTTTTGACGCCGAGAGTGCTGCAATAGCAAGAGCAGTCGAGAACATTATGGAGCAGCAACCTTTCCCCTTCAATAAAACAAAATTCGTCATCCTCTCGGACAGCAAAGCAGCCATCCAGTCCATCACTAACATAACCAACTACCACCCCACCTCCCTCAACTTCAAGAAGGCCCTAGTCAAATTAAAAATGAAAAACTACGAAATAAGAATACAGTGGATCCCTAGTCATACAAAAATCCATGGAAATGAGCTGGCAGACGCCCTCGCCAAAATGGGCTCTAAAAAGCCCCCTCCTAAATCAAATGGAATCACCCTCGCAGCAGCTAAGGAGAAAATCAAGACAAAGAAAAAAGCTGCCGTCGAAGAAAAACATAATCTCCAGAGCAGACTAAAACCGTGGAGAGAGGAGGTGGTTAAAGGCCCAGACAAAAACTGGCCCAGGTCAGTGGCCACTGCCCAGCTCAGACTGGCCACAGAACACGATGGCCTGCAGCACTACTTGAATAAATTCAGCATTACAAAAGAACCAGCAACATGCAAATTATGCAAAGCAGATGTGCAAGACAGGGCACACCTTTTTAACTGTGCCGTCCTTTTAAATCAAATTGACCCCCTGCAAAATCTGAGCAGGACAGAAACTGAATCCCAACTTTATTGGATTGCTCGAAAAATGAATAGCTGAAAAGCTCAAACATTTGGCATAAAAAAAAAAAAAAAAAAAAGAAATGAGGAAAATAAATAGAAAAATCATATAAAAAATTAGATTTTATTATTTTTATGTATTAAAAGGTTTTTAAAATTGCTGCCTTATTTAACTTATGATTTCTATTAGTAACAGTTGATTGATTAAAATTTAAAAAAGAATATTAGCTTTTTCATACCTCAAGTATTTTGTCTCCAAAAATGCACTTTTTCTTTTCTCCTCCAAATTCGAGCTTCGGTTTGGGCGCCACGCAGGTTTTGCAGCAGTCAGTTGGCTTGAGGAGGCGCTGATCTTTTAAGTTGCAATCAACAAGGGAGGGGCACGTTTGGGCCTTGCAGGTCACGGTCGGTTCAGCGGCACCTTCGATGCACCTGCAGCTGGAGCACGAGTTGACGGCGTAGTCCTGGTTGCTCCGAAGCAGCCAGTTTCCCAGTAAACAGTGACCCTTGGGTGGATTCAGGAATTGCCTGGTGCTACTTGAAACAAGTCCTGGAAAGAGATTTTTTTAACTATAAATAAAATGAGCAGGGCGAAATTGAGGGCAATTTTTTTATTTTATCAGGGAAAATGATATATTTTTATAATCAAGAGTGCAAAATAGACTCAAAGAAATTGATTATTTGTCATGATCTGATTTTTTTCCATCTAATTTCTATTTTACAATTAAAATTGGTACAATTAAGAATTTTTTAAGATGTAATTGTAAAATCCTCTGATAAATTAATAAAAATATTAAAATACTACAAATTTTGGAGAATTTTTTATTTACTTGAAGTTGGTGGCATTGGTCTACAGCGCGGACAGCACTCCATGAAGCCCGTCTCGATCTGCTGGCGGTTGGGACAGTTGAGCACCGGACAGGCCTTCCTCGTGCATATCATGGTGCCCTTCTTGTCGCAAACGCAAGTCATGCAGGGGGCCTCGATGGGCTTGAGCTCGGTGCCCACACCCATTTTGTAGCCTCGCAGTTCGCAGTCTGGAATTTGGTGGCGCAATTAGCAAATTAAGCGTGGTCAGAAAAAAATGACAAATTTCTTCATTTGCTAATGACAAGCACATTTTTTTAGTCGCAAATATTGTTTGGTAATCACATTTTAAAAGTCATCACTGCGATTTGAAATGTCAAAAAATAGAAGAATTAAAAATCTTTCAGCAAACACTCTTTAAAAGCTTTGCTAAAAATTTGCCAAAAAAATTGGACTTTTTTTAATAATTAAAAAAAAAAAAATAATTTAGTTTTATTTGAATATCTATTATTTGGTAATTCAAATCCTAATAAAGAAATTTTTGTTTAAATCATATAGAAATATAATTGAATAAAATTAATTGAAATTAGGTGAAAATTTACTCACTTGGGCAGCGAGCGCAGCATTCGTTTGGTCTCTTGGGCAGGGGCTTTTCGCACGGCGTGAGACATTCGACTTGGCTTTCGGTGAGGACGCCGTTGACGCAGACAATGTGGGTGCACGGGTCTGGCCGCCACACCGTTCCACTCTCGTACATCGTCCCATTCAACCAACAACCTGCCGAAATAAAAATTTATTTTATTCAAAGCTCCTTCTTTGAACTTGATCACGTTTGAATACTTGATAAGGCAATTGGCACGCGTTCAATGACGCATAGAATTCGCGGAAATTCGCGTTGGACTCACCTTTGCATTTTGATGGACAGCAAGGGTCTGAGGACTTTGTCTTTGGGTGGACGCAGTCGTCGGTTTTCGGACAGTGTTTCGGCTGGCATTGAATCAAACGGTTCTGAAATAAAAAAAGACGCAACGATTTATTTCTATATACTCATTTTGATTATTTGAAGGCGCAATTAAATTTTATCTTTATGTGATTAATGAGTCTAAGGTTCACTCTCAATAATTTTTATAATCGATGACGTTATAAATGAATCACAGAGGCCATTCATCGTTTTTTATATTTTATCTCAACTTACGAAAACTCGCGAAATATTTGAAAAATGCAATTCATTCACCAGTTGACATTCTGATAACTCTTATCTCCCCAAATGAAAAGTCTAAAGTTTCTTTTAATTACAAAGATTAAACGGGAATCGCTAATTTTCACGATTTCACCGAATTCGCAACAAGTAAGATAAGTGTGTAAAAGTCCAAGCAGCAGGACGATTCCGACAAAGGTTGCAACTTTTGCGAGGAAAAGTAGCGGCACAAGTTGCAATAAGAAGCAGACGCTGCGACTCTTGTTGCTTATCGCGGGGAAAGATCAAACACAGGCGCCGTGTTCAGTCCTCATTAGCAGCTCGCATTTATCTCTTGACTTTGAGAGGAAAATTGCACCAATGATCGAAACAAGCAGTTGCACGAGAATAATTTTGAATGTTTCTAGATGATTAATAAGTTTTTTTAGTTTATAAAAATATTAAAAATGCAATTTATTTAGGTGTGCAAAAATTTCTATTAATTTAAATTTCAGCAGTCACGATATTTAGTGGAAATTGATTAAATGCTTTTTTTAAAGTGTTCCTTTGACATACTTTAAAAACTATTTAATTTTATAAATTGAATACATTTTTTGTTTATTATTTTATTTCAAGATTTTTACATAATTTTAGGTTTCTAAAATATTTTTGCATCAAAATATCGTTTGTTGAGGCTGCGGCTCTCTTTTGATCATCTTTCTTAAAAAACAAACCTTAGTTGATAAATAACTTTCCGCATCTTGAAATTTTGCGGCTAAAATTAATTTTCGTTGAAGGAAAATGTAAAAAAAAAACGTAAAACAAAAAGAAAATCGTCTCGCCTCGTCGTAGCGCCAGGCCAAACATTCATCACGGTTAATAAACAAGCCGTGCTATGTTTAATGTATTTTGACCCAATGGTGTCCGCACCGGTGACGAAAAGCTGATGGCCCGTGATGCAACTTATCATAACACGCTCTCGTCGGCGGCGGCGGTCAAGTTGAAAGGGAACGTGTTGCTCAAAAGCTGAAAGAGCTCCTTTGTGGATAAATAAAAAGAAGAAAAATAATGCACCTTTCTTGGGAACGCCGCTTTTCTCCGAAACGGAACTAACCTATCCCCAGAAAAGTGCGGGGTCACTTTGGGCATATCCGCCTGGCTCGATTCAAATTTATTTATCCTGACCGGTCGTAAGTTTTGGTACTTAAGAAGAAGAAGAAAAAAGAAACAAGCTGCGCGAAAAGCCGGTTTGCTTTTTTATATTTATGAGCGACCACGTGAATGGAAATACACCTGAGGATCAGAGAGAGATGCTGATCGGAATACGGTGATTACCAGTGTCGAAATTTTCTTCGTCTATAAGCGAGTTGGAAAAAAAGCAAATTGCCGATGCGGCGCTCGATAATTTAGAAACTCTGTGACTTTTTTTGTTTCTCTTTCTCGGGAGAGGTGTGTGTGTTATTACAAGGAGATGAATTCACCTTGCAGCGTGTGATTATTGGCCGCACGGCCTTTGGTCATTATTATTAATAATGTAAATGGACGCTCCTATGCGGACGAAAAGCCGGCGCGCGTTGTCAGCAACGTCATTTAAAACTTTCACTTTCGACGAGCAGCTAATCCGGCGAATTCACAATAAAACGTGAATAACTAGCTCTTGATTGGGGTTTTCACGCGGCTATCCAGTTTCAATACACTCTCGATAAACAAAAAGGGCCGGTCTAATTTTATATCGCAGTGAACGTTATGCAATCGATATGAAACACTGCGGGGATAATTTTGGCTTTGACCTTTGAAAATGAAAGGTAGAGTCCACCGCAGTGAGAATCTGATTTGAGTTAGGATTAAAATCAGGAACCGCCAAAAGAAGAAATATAACAAATTTCCTCACGCAATGTTTTTAAACTTCATTTTAAAATTGCTGACCAATATGGTGAAATGCTCCTCATATTAATCTGAATTGGTGCAAGGAAAGTAAAAAAAAAAAGATTCTTTTGATGACAATATAATACTAAAACGTGCTTGAATTCTTCTTAAAATCTGTTTTTTTTCTGTTCTCAAATAATGTAGTCCGAGGTTATTTTTTATGACGAATTCCAGGCACGCGGAAATCATTGCGCGGGGCCGAGCTAGCTCTTGAGCAGCGACGGACGCAACAATCGTTGCCGCTGATCTCTTTTGGCCGAGGCGAAAACGGCGATGAGCATATAGAGCGCGGCGTGGCCAAAAATGCATGCAATCACGGCCAAAAATAAAGGCGCGCACATGACCATTATCAGACTGGATCATTACGAGTGAGAGAGAGGAATGGAATCGAGTGGAAGAGGGTGCAATTCCCTCTCGCCAGGCAGGCACCGCCGTGGCGCCACTCCGAGTGCCTCTCCGTCGCCCGCGAGAGTTAGCTCGCCTAGCTCTTGGATAAAAAAAAATGCAGCCCCCGCACGCTAGAGCGAGAAAGAGAACAACCCGCCCAAATCCATCCCCATTATTTTATACGCAGCGCCCACAGAGAAGGGAGAGAAATGCTGGACCAGGAAAACAGCTTAGGGCTTTTCAAAATCTCACTCTGACCATTTTTTTTTTTAATTTTTTACAATTTCTGATATTTTACTAGTGGAAAAAGTCCAAATTTGGAGGGGGGGGGGAAACAATTAAAAATTTTCATGAATTGTTCATAGATGTCATATTGTTAGTTAGAGTTAGGATTACTGATCAAAAATTCAATTCCTCTGTTTAGGTTAAATTTAAATTGCCAAATTATTTAAAATTAATTTGGAACGTTTACTTTACTTAACATTGAGCTCTTTATCGCCAGGAATGTGTTGATTCAGAATTTGTTTGAATTTTAATTTATCAGTTTTCCCACAACGATCAACAAATTTCTTCAACAACAATTCCTAAGGAAAGTCAAAAGTTTATTAAATTAAGAGATTTCGCTTCATTCTTAAATTTCCTTCAAATGTAAAAAAAAATGAGGTTTTCCACTGTTTTACTGATGTTTTCTATTTTTATATAAATAAATTTTTATTTGCGTTGCTTTTTTACGAAGAGCCCTTTTATATATCGTTGCAGCTAGACTAGATAAAAACTGGCTGGCAGATACATAGATATTGGAAGTAAAGGGATACATTCATGAGACGCGAAATGATGGAGAGGGAGGAATTCTCTTTCTTTCTTTCTTTCTATGAATGTGTCTGCGGCCGTTTTGTTTGTTTGTTTGCTTTCGTCTCGCGCAGTCAGTCTGTTATTTTTTTACTTCCACCCTCCCATTCCATTACTGCGCCGCTTTTGGAAGCGATTTTTTGTCCAAGTTGTGTTTTTCTTACCTTGCACACGCAGTTGTAGCAAAGGAACTGGCGGTCCACTGGCACCTTCATCCCCTCGTTCTCACAAGTCATCAGATTGCCTGTGGTCAGAAAGGCATGCGTTTTATATTTTTGTTCCACAATAATATATATGTCGGCCTCACTCAAGGAATTTCAACGAGAGCAGAGATTATTTACCAAAAGAATGCACGCGAAGCGGACACATACAAAATGTGTTTTTAATGTTTTTTGTTTTGTGCTTTTGATTGTTTTGGAGAGAAATGAGGGATCAGAATAAAAGAAAAATAAATTGTGATGTTGACGAAAGAATGAAAGTTTGAGACACTCATGGAATTAAAACTTTTAAATCTCTTACTGTAAAATTCGGCGATTTTTGCTCTTTTTGAGTGCAAAGATAAGTTTCAAATATGTAAAATTCAGGCGAAACTTTGTAAAACTGTTCAAATCATGTTCATTATTGGCACAAACAATGTAATTAATACCAAAAACGTTTGAAATTTAGGTTTCATTATAAAGCAAAACGATAACACACATAATCTTCCAAATGCTTTCTGTTACTTTGTTAAATTATAAAATAAAATCCACTCATTAATAATTGGGACTTAATAAGAAATGAAATTTTCTAACAAAAAGATTTTTTTAATGCTGAAATTTAACTCCAATAATTTGAATGCATCCTAGCGAAAAAAGTTTAAAATTTTACAACTTCCAAATGTTAGACTTTTACAGTTAAAGCATAATTTTATTTTCATTCAAATTTCTTTGAACTCAAGAAAGTTCGTGTCAGTTTAGGAAGATTGGCTTATTATGCATTTTTATGAAGAGATATAAATCAGAACAAGAAATTGTCAACGTTTGAAACATTTATTATAATTATTATTGTTTTGTTTGTAATGAATTGGATTTTCTTAATCAATAATAAAATTTGTATTAAAAATTAAATCATTTTCACTCTGTAAAGCGAAATAACTGAAAAACTATTTAAAAAAATAAACTTTTTTAAATGATAAAAAAAAATGCTCTATGATATGCCAAATTTTTGTGATAAGCCTGCAATATTAGAAAATCATAATCTTGATCAGAAATCAAAATTTATACTTTTATTTAAATTTCACTCAAAATTTATGTTTTGTAAATTAGCGATTTATATACTCCTCTAAAAAATTTAAAAAATAAATTTTTAGGAATTCCAGTAGAAATTAGTAATACTTTCACAAAAACAGCTTTCAGAAATTTAGGAATTTTTATATATTATAAAATTTGATTAACAAATTTTACCTTTCAAGTCGGCGTCCACTTTGAGCAGCAGCATCAGCAGCAGGCACAGAAGGAAAGTGTTGGCCATCATCTGCAATCAAAACAGCAGAGACAAGTGTGACTAACGTCTTTCTCTCTCGCGACTGACTAAAATACTCGTCACATTCACACTCGCGACGGTGCGCCGCGGCGAGGGAGGAGGAGGAGGCCAAATATCATAATAATAACAATAATCCCAGTGACTCACTCTGTCAGAAACAAACTCTTGATTTTTTTTTATCAAACAGCACGCTGCAGATTACACACACAATAAAGCGAAGCCGCGGCTCTTTTCGTGTGTGCACCGCCCGCGCCCGCCCCAGAGATGAATGGAACGGCGACAAAGAAAGAAAGCAAAGCACACGCCGACGCAGTCGCGCGTTTTCCGCCGCAGACACTCACTCGGCTCCATTCTTGGATTTTATTGGCTTTGTCTCTGCCACCGACTCAATGGCGCAGCCGAATTATGGATTTTCCGCGGCGATGCGTCCAAGAAATATGGAAAACAAGCCATGCATTTTTATTCGCAGTGATTTACAACTTTCTATTGCGAATGGGTTCGGGGTCTATGAATAAATCATGTCTTTTTGCACAACACTTGTTCATTGATGAAATGGATTGGGGGATCGACTGCGCAGTAATTTGGACAAGAGCCGCGGCTGTTTTTGTATAATAATGGATTGATTTTTTTTTTACATTTTTGCCAATACCACTGGATTTTTGTTATTAACATGAATTGTAATATTGTGCTGAAATTTGCATAGGAATATTCAATTTTTGAGAGATATTCTGTAAAAAGTAATTGAAACATGTAAGTTTTAAATTTGTGCACCTTCTGTAGTAAAATTATTGTAAAAGACCAAATCGGAAGAACCTTCTTTTCAACTTTATTTAGCAAAAATTTTTTATTTTTAAATTATATTCACGTAAAATTTCCCCTTAAAATTTAATTTTATTCGTGGCTAGGCTAAGACAAGTTAATAAATTAAGTCTTGCTGGCTTGTGCCCTTAATTTAGTGGTGAACACCTAATTTTTCCGTTATGTATCTTTATATCAAATCAAAATTATTTGGAGCCAATATCATAAAAAAGCACAACTGAATTTACAATTCATTTTAAACTAACACGCTTCAAATTTTTTCAGCAGTTCCTCTTTAAAATTTGTATATTTAATTAAAATTCTTACAGAAAATTAATTGATTTAAAAAAAAAAAAATAGATCGATTATTGTAACTTTGTCTCTGTCTTCCAATGCAAATTTTATAAACGGAAAAATTTGAATTGAATTAAGTTTTTAATCATATAGAGTTGATAATTTATCTCAGAAATGCGCCTAACTCATGAGTTTCGTCATAAATTTTTAAACGCCACCGTTTGTTTTTTACTTTACTCCGATATTTTTGCTCAAAGGTTTTTTTTATCAACTGCGCATACAAATTTCTTGCCAAAGTTTGTCACCAGATTCGCGCGTGTTTAGCTTCTTGCTCGCGGCCAGAAGATTTATTGCACCATTTTTCATACACTTTTGACCGATTGCCCAGCAGCTTTCTTCTCATATATACTCTTTTGCTCGAACTAAAATAAAACTCTTTCTCTTTGTTTATCCAATGCTCAAAACTTCTTCTGCGAATATAAATAAAACTCGTTCGATCCACTGTGGAAGCTTTGTTTGAAAAAAATAAGGGAGCCATCAAAACGCTGACGTTGCTTTCTTAAGATTCCTCTATTCTTAATGTGCAAACTTTTCCAATGATTTTCGTTCTATTTCGGGCCAGACGGGTATAAACTCCAGTGACAACATGCACAATTTATAGATTCTTCTCTTTTTCCGTCTTGAAAGGGTTGTAAAAAAAAAATAACAATGTGGCAGCAGAGAAGCTTTTTGCAAATCAATCACGCGATGGAAATTTGTTGAATATACGCAGCTTTTGTGTTACAGGCTCTCAAAGAGTTTGGAAAGTGGTTCTCAATCTGTCTCAAGCTTGCCAAAATTTGAATATTGTATAATCAATCACAGAAGAGCTGCTCTCAATCTTATTCTCCATTCGGAAACAAATAAAATGAGAGGAAGAAAAAATAATTCAAAATAAAAATGCATTATTATAAAGAATAAAATGAAAATGAAGAAAAGAGTTTTCTTTATTTTAACTTTAACTTGATTAAAAAAGTCTTTCTTAAGTTTTCTTAAGTTAAGTAACTTAAATGTGACTGTATAAGAGTTATTTGCATTTATCGGCGATTGTTTTGTATTGGAAAATTAGAAATAAAATATTAATAATATTAATATTTTAACCAGTCAGCCAAAGTTGCAAAAGTTCATCTTATGCACAAAATTTGCTCATATTCCTCTTTTGATAACATGTTTTTTTAGATTTCCAAAATGCTCACTGAGGCAGGGTTGGTATTTTAACCCCAGATTTGAAGGAGTACACTTTTTTTTATCAAAATTTCAACATCGATCATATGAAATTTTGTCCACTTTCAGAACAAAAAATTGAAAAAAATTCGGCGTGGGTAAACAGTTTTCTGAGTTTTTATACACCGAGAGTGAATCTTTCAAAGCAAGAATAAAAGGATTGTTATTCGAAATGACTAATTTTTAAACCGGAAAAAGCAGACCTCGTCCTGCACGCGGTGGCCAGTTAAGGTGCTGTTGGTCCGCGGCGGCTCCCACAGAATGGATATAAACGCGATCGCAGGCAGCAGACACTGACGCACCACCAACTCACGTAAGACACACAATTGCTCGACTTATTTGTAAAACGAGGTGGGAATAAGCGAAACAACAATGCTGCTGCCGTTCGCCGAGCCACCCACTCGCGAATCTCCGGAGTGCCGGAATAGGGCCGAAAAGAACAAGGCCGAAAATGGCTGAGCGGAACAGGGCCGAAAAGGAATAGGGCCGAAACGGAACAAGGCCGAAATACCGGTGCAAACAAACTAGGAAGAACCGATTTTTTTGGGAAATCACCGCGATTACCGTGTTACGTCTACCCGCCATCCCGATAAGAAATGGGACGCCTTGGGTCTCAGGACACAAATTTTTTATCATCGTCCTTATAAATCAAAGTAAGAAATATCTAAATTATTTAATATGTGGTAGGGAGGAACTTTTCAGTTTCCGGGTTTTATTTATGGTCGATATGCTGGAAATACGTGAACCAAAAACTGACCAGCAGACTTGAAAACTCAATATTAAGGAGAGCTTTTGCAAAAAAATGACCCGATTCATTTTGCTCTACATTAATTAGCATTGGATTTTTTATGTCAGTTCCAAGGAGACATAGTTCAGACAAAATAAATTTGTTAGGAGACCCAAATTTTTTAAATTTAAATTTAGAATTGGTATGAGAATTTCCTAGAATTTATTTTTTCTCAAAATTAGCTTGACCAAAATTGATAAAAAATTTCAACAAATCACGTTCATACCAGGTTCATACCACCCAAATTCAAATCAATAGGTCAGTCGACATAAAAAATGTACAATGATCTTATAGGAAAAGGTTGAGAAGTTTATACAAATAAGTGATAAGTTTCCTGGACAAATAATTTCTTGAAAGATCGTGTTTTCCGAGTTCCGATGCAGTATGGTTTTTTAAGCTGTACAAGAGATCAATTTATCTTCATCTTGTTGTCCCCAAATGTCTGTGATTTTGTGATTATGTGTCTCGCCCAAAATGAAGATTTTTTTGCGAAGTCTTGTGTAAAATCAATTTTCATCTATTTTCCAATGCGAAACGGCCGCATGACGGATTTTGGTATTGACGCGCAAAGGATAAAATGTTCGCTGAGCTGAACGCTCTCGCGGTTATCGGTTATTTTTCAGCTTTCGGCCTTGTTCCTTTTCGGCCCTATTCCTTTTCGGCCTTGTTCCGCTCAGCCGTTTTCGGCCTTGTTCTTTTCGGCCCTATTGCGGGACTCCGAATCTCCGACCATTCGATCCCACATTGCTGCAATGAAAAGCAGAGCTCAGCCTTCTTCTTTTTTTGCCCCCTTGCCTCGGCCAGCGTTCGTTTTTTGCAATCAAAAAATGTTTAAAGAAAGAGAGAGGAATTCTGGCCAGAAATAAAAGAGTCGTCCCGGCGCGAGTTATCAAAAATATTTTTGGATCGCATCCACGGCAGCCGCGAGAATTATTCGCCCCGTGTTTTTATTTATTGTGAGGAATGCGTGTTGGCCCGGCTCGCCTCCTCATTTCACTCCCTTTTGACAGTGGCGAGTTTTCACCAGCAGCTTTCAAGTCGCGGCCTTCGAGGGTCCCAGGAATTTTGGAATTATTACCAGCTGCTTTCATGTATAATAAATTTTCTGCAAAAATCTAAATTTAATAATATTGAATCAAGCTAATACATTATAATGAAGATGAGCTGTTCTTTGATGAATGTTACTTGCTTATTAAAAGATTTCTTTGCATCTTTTATCATGAAATATATAATTCTCAAAGTTTAAAATGACCAAAAATTGGTTGAAACTGAAAAAGAGCAAAATTAAATCAAAGTTGAAAAACCTTCTTTTGTAACACATTTTTTACAATTATCCAAATGGAAGTAAAGTAAAACTGGCTTTGTCCTTCACTGATGAAATTTTTTATTTAAAATACAAACGGCTTTACCAGTTTTGGTCACAGTTTGCGACCCTATTCATGAGAAGGACAAAATAACTTATAAAATAAATAAATAAATAAAATTAACATGGCTTATTATAATTCACGTTTTCTCAAGTGCCAACTTTTTTTGCTGAAATTTCGCATGTTGCAAAGAAAAAATGTTTTTCAGATTTATTTTATAAAAGAACTCTAGATATATATTCCAAATAGGCATTTTGTGAAAATTTCTTGTTAAAATAATGAAAATATAAAAATAAAACTTATTTAAATTACAAAAAAAAGCATGTTTTAACTATTTGCAAACCAAAAAATCTAATAAATTTGAAAGAATGTGAAGTGAAGTCAATTTTATTTCCCTTTCGTCAAACATCATCCCAATCGCATGTTTTCTCTGTACCAAAATTTATACCAAACGTTTTCAAAATAACCCGATTACAATGTCAGATAAATTATAGTACTTTGAGATGAAGTTCAAGGTATAATTTTTTTTATTCTTCTTCTTAAGTACAGTAGTTAATGAAATCAATAATATAGATTTTTTGGTGAAAATTTTAAGAGGGAATTTTCATTTAAAAAAGTTTATCAGTAATTTCTTAATTTTATGTTATTCCTTTCAGAAAAATAGTCAAATTCACCAAATTATTTGTTATTTATCTCATATTTATAAAATTTGTCTTATTTTTATTAAGAAAAGTAGACAAAATTCGCATTTCGTTGGATAAAATTTATTATTTATCCTTTGTTCAAATATATTGCGGTTGCTTTTGCCCCAATATATTGGCTCGTTCTTCGCTCCCTCCGCATCACCAACAAGAAACAATTCTCCACTTTTGACGTGTTCAAAAGCAACCGTCGATTCACATGAATGGAAAAACGCGTGACGAGAGACGTATGCATGTTGCCCAAACACACACGCCGATTTCTCACTCAAATAAAAAGAGACTGCTACGAGAAAGACAGATATCATTTGACTGGCTGGTTAACCGCACTACTTCTTTTTGATATCAAGCAGCAGCAGCACAGGCTTTTGAACTTCGGCATAGGAAATGCGAGAGCAGCGAGTGAGCGAGCGAGAGAGCTGCACAATATATATGGATCGTGTACGTACATAAATACAAAACCACCCATACAAACGAACGCGCGTATGTGTTCGGAATATAATTATCCCGCAGCAGCTCTCGTAAACGGCCATGTAAGTTACATACGCACTCGCTATATTCACTAATCTTATCGGGGCCGCGCAGCAGCCGCCGAGAGAGAGAGAGAGAGAAGTGGAGCTATTTTATTTTCCGCAGATCGCGAGTGGGATGCAGACAAGAATGTGTCTCTCTCAGTCAGAAGGACTTCTTTATATTGCAGTGTGTATAGTTATATTTTTTTTTATTGGACTAACAAGGGTCTAGCTATATGGTAGTGTGACTTGGCAGAGAAAAGAATTGGCTCACATTTCTATAAACTGAAACTCTTCTAAATTGTGTTAGAGCTGCTGGATGAAAATTCCTCAGCACCAGTTGTGCTGGCATCGATCAACAGACTTGAATCTCCGCTGAGCTACAAATTTTAATTGATGCATTTTAAAGGACTGTTTTTCTAGCGGCCTCCGCACGCCGGATTCCTCTCTCGAGAGAGAGTCAAAGGAAAATGCGGTTCTATATCTAGCCCTTGACTCATTCAAACAGGTCAAAATTTTCATTTTCAACGTTTCAGCTTGATATGTGGGACAAAGAATATGTATAATTTAACCAAGTCTTTGAAATTATTCTCTTTAATTATGTGATTGGAGCAAAACTTGACAGGTATAAATAAAAACGATTCTAATCACCAATCATTGCACATTTTAAATGTTAAAATTGCTCCATCCCTTCTTTAAAAACAAAAAATTGGACAGATAAAAGGTGCATGTATTTTTTTTAAATTTATAAGGCGAGTATTGTTGATTTTGAATTAAAGACTATTTTTTATTGCTTTTTAAATTTCAAAGTTGAGAAAAATTATCGAATCATTAAATCAAAAACAATCTTGTAAATTTAGATCAAAATATATAAAAATTCATCTGCTGGAAAAATTGCATTTATAATTCCTGCAATGATTAAAGGATTTCTATTTTTGCTTTAAAAAGAAACTTAAAGTAATAAAAATGTCTGAAATAATAAGAATTCAAGAGATTCTTCTTTCAATTTCTTGCCTTTTTATATATCGCCAGAATTATTAAGTTTTACTTTTCGTAGAGGATTTATTTATTTCCCATTCTTAATTCTATCTCTCTACGGACGCGCAGCTGTTTGTGTTTTGTTTAGACTGGAAAACCGCTGCCGCCCCGGGGAGAATATTCTGCAAAATTTTTGGTCTTATCATTAGCGAATTTCCTCTCCTGCAGTTTCGGTCTTCGTTAAGTTATACTCATGGTTCCGATCGCGTCGTTAACTTTTACAGCTTCTCAGAATCTCATATTTCACTCGCCGCTGCAAAAACAGTGACCCTCCCAAAAAAAAGGAGGAAATTGCGCATAATCTCTCCTATTGCGTTGAAAAATAGAGGCAATCTGGAGAAACTTGGAAGTAATTGGAAGGAAGACTGACTCAAATATAGTAAATTATTTAAATATATTTTAATCTATTTCAAATTTTCTTTTGATTGTATCAATTAAATAAATTGAGCAATCAAAGCATAAATTATTGATTATTCATTGCCTAATCAATATTTTCCAGAACAAACATTGCAGTATTTTAAAATCAAAATTCAATGTTGATCCTAAAAACTGAAACATGATGTCCTCAAAATGCATCGGAAAGTTGGAAAAAAATTGGATAATTATGCAATAATAATATAAATAATATTTAAATTAAACATTTATAATAATTTATGACTTCAGTTTACAGAAACGGTCATAGCTAAATTAGCTAATCTAGAAAGACTCTTGCAAGGTTATGAACAATTTGTGCTAAAGCTTGCAAAAATGGGTGTTTGTTGCAGGATGCGGAAAATCACCTTGCATGATAATGAGGCAAAATGGTACAGTGTACTGCTACGTTAATTACGAGGAGAGATTAGCCTGTTAGTCATGCCGACCATTTTTATTAATTAGGTTGTTTATCACGAATGACAGACTTGCGTATTCCCCTGTATAGTTCACCAGCAACCTCATAAAATGGCAATAAAAAATTTATTCCCCACTCCTAACTTAACTCATGGCTAGAAATTTTTAATGATGCTCCTCGATTAAAGCAGAGGAGCGAGTCTGTAGCTAAATCTGAAGAATGATAGGATTACTTGACTTAAGGTCACTTTAAATTATGAAAAAAAAAACTGCTAGCAGAAGTTTGGGAATTTGACTTCAATTATGAGTTTGTGAAAAAAAAAATTATTAGTTTTAAAGGAGAATTCATTTGGCGCTTGGATTTCTGATTAAAATTTAAAATTTTGGTTTTTTAAATTCTTTTACCTTGCAAAATTTAAAATCTCCAAATTAATTTTTTATTTTTATAAACTTTTTTTGAAAAGCGTTGAGATTTTTATGAGTAAAATTTTAAAAGTTCGTTAGAACCGATTAGAACATTCAGTGTGTTCTTCGTCGATTGAAAAGTAAAATTGGGAAACAAATTATTATTTAATTAACAATAAGAATTAGTAAAATATTTAAAGTCACTTACCAAAAAATAAAATACCGACTTATGACTTAACTTTGATAAATTGAATTATTTAAAATAAAAATTTCTTCATAACATTATCAGTTTTAATAATGGTTTCCGAGTTAGGTTTTTTGATTTTATTGGTTGCATAATAAAAATGATAAAAAAAATCGCCTGAGAAAGATGAGATGATGATGAATCGACAGCGCAGAGAAAGAATTCCAATCATCGGAGAAAAAAGTAGAAGGAGTCGCGAGCGGTTCTCCGAATGTAGAAAAAGCGGCGGACCCTGGCGCGCACCGAAAAGAAAACGCCAGGCACCCACAGGTCGCCGGCACTGCACAGGTGGATCGCCAGCAGGTGGAAGCAGCTCGCAGGTGAAACAAACCTTTGCAGGTAGGTAACCTTCAGGCGTGGCCTCCAGCGGGCCTGCCGAATTCCTGGCAAGGCCGTGGCCCCCACGCTCGGACACGCGGCGCCGACCAAAGGTGGCGCCGACTCTTTAGTTGCCATGGCAACGATCCTCAGAATGAAGAAGAAAACTCTCTTCTCGGATCTTTTTTTTATTTTAGAAAAAATGAACAAGAAGAGGAATAAGAATAATATTATAAGGCCTTGATTTAGGTCGCTGCCCAAAGACACTGGGATTGGGGAAAAAAATTGTAAAAAAGTCCGAACCAACCTTAATTTGGCGGCCGTGACAAGGGAGTCTTCTTTTCTCATGGGCTGGCTGGCGGCTGACGGCTGGACGGGCTGGCGACGGCTGGCATATTTCCTTCCTAGGGTCCGCGGTCACGACTCCTCACGTCTCGCTCGCTCGCGAGAGAGCAGACTGGCTTTTTGTTTGCAGTTTCTCCTGCAGGTGTATCCGCGATCAGCTGGCGCCGCTGCTCGGCCAGTTGTCTGCCGACAGGCGAACTGAACCAACGTGAAGAAATACTTTTTTTGTTCGGAGCCAGCAGCAGCAGAGCTCTTGACAGCGCGCCGCGTCGCTCGCGGAGTGGTGGTCGCTCTACTCGCGGCCAACGCGTGGGCAGCGCGATCGCCGCCGCAAGAGAGAGAGAGAGGGGGGCCGCGGCTGGCGCCCCTCTGGCCGCCCTCCTCTTGCGTATGTATTCCAATAGGCCTAATGGACACGCAGCCTCTTTTCTTTTATTTCTCGGGATGCATTTTTCTTTCTGTGCCGCCGCAACAAAAAAGAGTAGAAGAAGAAGGGTGCGAGGGTGCAGTTTGATTTATGATTGCAGATGAAAGGGGGATCTTTGTCGAATGTAAAGTTTCTCTTTTATTGATGAGGAATGATCTTGATTTTCTTAAAAAAAAACTATTTGGCCCCGGGAAAATTGATAAAAATTGGGATTTTGTTCCCATTTCCCATGACAGTTATTTTAATATATTTAACGAAAGAACTGAATGAGGATTTGAATTAATATTCAAAATATAAGAAGATTTAATAATAAAATTTTCTATTTTATGAAAAGCTAGCACTTAGTATGATTTTTTGTTTTATAATAAGACAATAGATCAGCCTGAGATTGAAATCTACATAATTACATAAATTTGGGAGTTGTTTGGGTGTCATTTTTTACTTTATAAAACTAACTAAATTATATGATTTTAATTTTTTTATTTGAAGCTGAACGCTGTATAGTTGCTTCGTAAGCTGCGTTTCAGTTAAAAAAAAAATTAAATATTATAATTGTTAATTTAAGTATTTAAATTTTAAAAAAACGTCTTAATTTTACATTAAAATCAGAAAACGATGAAAAATTTAATATTAATAATAAGGATAATCAATAAATTTAATTTCTTCAAATTGTATAATAAATGATCAGCGGGGCAAGAACAAAAACTAACAATTAATGTCAACCGAGGCTAACTGCGGTGGATGTGGTATTTTTATCTCGGAAGTTTTGCAATATTCTTGCTAATGGGTGGTGTCGTTTTGTTCAACAATTCAATGTTTCCTAACTAACAATTGATTATTTTTAAATAATTTTATAATTTTTTGCAACATTTGAAATATTAGACAACAACAAAATTTGCCATACATTAAATTTGGGTTTTTTAATCCCAGTTGACTTTTTCGTATTCAATCATCGTCTGGAGCGCGAGCCTAATTTAGTGGCTTTCACTCCTTTTTGTGTGCGATGCTCCCCTGCGCGAGCTCGTGTGTGTGTCTGTGTGTTGCATGTCATGAGATAATCCAGATCTGTGTATTTTCCGCGCGCAGCCTGATGGAGTAGCAGTTGAAAGGCTTTTGTGATAGACTAAACGAATAAACACCAAAGAGAGATCTAAGAAAGCGGCTTCTCTTTGTAGTTTTCGCCCTCTCAAGTGTATAGAAACAATTTTCGCTCAGAAAAAGCACGCGTCCGTCTAGCTCGACCGCTCGCTCGTGCACGTTTCGTGCGCCGTCACAAATTAAGCCGTGAACATTTGCATAATGGTCGGCGAAGCACTTAATGAGGCAAAAAGTTTGTTTATAAACTTCCTCATTAACTGCTCGTTCATTTTCATGATTTTAATTATTCAATTTTGCCACATTGAAATTTTAAAAGGATCTAAAATGATAAATTTAATACTAAAATAATCCGTAGGATCGCCATTGAAATAAAAATAATGTTATATTTTAATTTTTAAGTTTTTTTACTCTTTGCTTTTTTTAAAAAAAAAAAAAATGTCTTATTCTAATGATATCAAACTTGAAGTTAATTTTTAATCGAAAATTAAAAATAATTAAAGGTTTGAAAGTGAAAGATTTGGAACACTGGAGCATTTTTTGTGACCGTTACATAATCATATGAATCATTTATGAATGCATTGTTAATTTGTTTTATACAGCTAAATATTCAATTGTGAGCAGAAATAACTGTTGGATTCAAAATTTAAAATGTTGGACATTTAACAAGTTTAATAAATTTTCAACTCTGTCGGTTTTTAAATAAGCTGAAACTTTATATTGAAAAATTAGAACTATTATTGATCTTTGCTGAAAACATAAACATCATTAAATGAAATGAATTGATGAAAACATTCAATTTTTTATTTTACCGAGAAAATATTGCAATTGACTAAAATACACTAAAAATGTATTAAATTTTATAAAACAGTATTTGTAAATTCTGGATATATTTTGTGAGAAAAAAATCTATAACCGAGAAGTTTATACACCATTTTAGATTTTCCTGGCATGAGCTTATGTAAATTTTAATCATCATAAAATTTCAAAAAGCAAACAAACATACTTTTTGTTTTATATATAATCCTTGATTGTTAAAATCCATTCAAATCTCGCTTTGATTATTTTTGATATAAAACTGTCATGAATTAATTTTTTCCTATTCATTTTAAACTAATTTACTTTAATTTTTTATAATCAGATCATCAGATGGCCTGCAAACGTGAGATTTACTAATTGCAAGTGAACACGTAGACGTTGATGGCTGAAGTTGGGTGTGAGACAGGGGTTGTCCCAGCGTCTGGTGAGTCACGAGAAAAGGTGTCAGTTCTGTTTATAATCAGCGGCGTGTTTAATTTAGCTTTGTCGGCGGGTCGGGAGGAGCGAGAGTGCGATTTATTGCCTCATCTCGAAGTACAAATGTGCGAGATCGATTGCGCCACGTCCGTCCGTGCATCTCGGATAAGTCAGATTTCCCGCCGACTAATGAACTGCAGCTCTCAACTGTGTTGCGCATTTTATGAGGTGCAAATGAAACGCGTATTAATAGATAGAGGCAGCGATTAAGTGCAGATGGCTGATTTTAGCTAAACAAACCGCCGAGAGATGAGTAGGGCAGGGGCCCATCTATTTTACGTTTTCTTTCATTATATGCGCGTTTCAGAACGAAAGGTGCTTCAAGGTATATTGTTAAGTATGGGCGGCAAGTTGTTCCAGATGTGGTTAAATGAGATATTTTTGAAGCAGATAAAATTTGTTTTAGACTTTAATTATTATTGCTTCAAAAGCAGCAGATTGATGGAAGAAACTGAAGAAAGACAAAAAAAAATATTTTTCCAATATTTATTTACAATTTAAAAGTTATACAACAATGTTTTAAACAGGTAAAAATAAATAATGTATAATAGTTACACTTTTTATGAATATTTTTTTATAAATTTTTTTTGAAGAATCAATAAAAATAGATTAATTAATATTTCATATTAAAAATTTTTTAAATATGTAATTAAATACAAATATTTATTGTCAGTTTCAATAAATTATTTATTTGTTTATTAAATTTTTTACTTTTTAAATCAATAATACAGCCGCACAAAGACACTTTATTAATTTTAACCAAACTGGTAATTGAATCGCTCATTTTCCAATATTTTTTAATAATTTAAAAAGGTTTTCATTATAAAAAGCTCTTAATGTAAGAAATTGGACAGTTGAAGTAAATTTTTACTCAATATTAACTCCTAACTCTGGAGATTTTTTTCATTTTTTTGTCATCGAAAAAGCACAAAATGCTTATTTTCTCAAGTGCTAAAAGACACTAAAAGGTTTGCCAATAACACCGACTTTCAAACCACTTTTCGCGTGTTCTCCGTGACGATTTGTGTTTGCCTTTGGCACATGCAATGATTAATCTTTCATTTGCTCAGCAAATCTCAAGCGCACCACCTGCGCCGCAAATGAAAAGAGCACATACGGAGTTTGTGGAAATATTTATAAAAACGCCGTTCAAAAGAGCGACGAATATATATACCATAAGTTTCAGTTTCCGAGAAGCGCGAGTTGGCAAGGTCAAAAACGCAACATACGCAAAAGGAAACTGAAACAAGAAAAGCGTCACTTGGGTCTAAAAAGCAGCCAGTTACAACCCAACCCTTTAGATAATTGCCAGCTGCAAATGATAATGACTGTGCGCGGATGCTACCTGCTCACTCTCTTCGGATCTTGAATTTCGTGTTTTTCGATGAATGGCTCTTGTTTTTGCTCGCCAAAGGTGCACACTCGGCGCACAAACACGTGCAATGAACGTACAATTTCATGTTATTTATGTGCAAACGTCGGCGCTGTCGGGGAGGAGAGCGAAACGAGGGTCGTGGATTTCGATTGCACAGGACGAACGACAAAAAGTACTTCTCTGTTTGCTTTTTTCATTAATTTGAATGTTCGTTTATATTTTCGAAACCTGCTGCGCCGCGCCAAGGTCGACGAGGTGAATTTGCCTTAATGATATACGCAAACGATGGGAATGCGAGAAATTCTACTTTCCAAGAAATCTAATGAAATTTAATTTTAATGAATAAAAAGTGGTGGAATTAGCATAACCAGATTCGACGGAACAAAAATTCAATGGCAGTCAAACTGTATAATGTGGCATCCTGTTTTAAGATAGATTTAAAGTGGATTGTAACAAAACAGAACTAAGTAAAGTTGGTACCACTGAAAAAAGTCAAGCACTGGAACAGCCAATTGGAGCAGGGAACGATTTGAGCAGGTCAATGACATTACTTAAATGTTTTTTATGTAATTTATTTTATCTTCCCTTATTGGTTGTGTATTTTTTAAAAGGTAAAAACATCTTTAATTATATATAACTTTCCAATTTAAATATTTAAAAAGGTTAGAGAAAAATTTATAAAATCATTTAAGATGCTTTATTGCCTTAATTACAATTGAAATTTTTAATTTCCTTAAAATTTCTAACCCTATTAAATATAATCCTCAAGTTCCTCCAATAAGATAATTCATCATATTATTATTTTATAGTTATTGTATTGAATTTATTGCAAAATAAATATTAAAAATAAATAAATAAATATTAATATATTGTATTTAATCTTTATAATCAAGTTTGTTATTATTTATATCGAAAATAAGATTTTTTTTTCTTCTGATTATGTCTATTGAAAATTTAAAGATTCTTAATTTTTTTTATCTTCAATTTGCTCGAGATTAATTTCCAGCCGCCCGATACAAGACACATAAATACTCCAGACAAATAAAACTAAGCACACACAAACACACAACGTAATGTGCGTCAGTCTGAGAGCAGACGCACGAAGGCGTTTAATTGGAGATCTCTCGTGTCTGCCTTTTTGCCTGTTTGCATTCTTCTTGTATTCGCGAGGCGTCTGCCGCTGCTGACACATTCATCGGAACCAGATTTGAATTGCGCTCCGAATCAGATGTCTTAGTTCAGAGCACCAAAAAAGTTTATGTCTCTGGACGAAAAACATCAATGTGTTGAATATTGGAGAAGGATTTAGGTTTCATTAAACGCGCCAGCAGTGTCTGACAGACACGCGTCGCATGGTTTTGATCAGAAACATAAAAAATATGAGAATATAATTATGGTTAAATTTTTCTATCCTTGACCTGTAATAGATATTCATGCAAATTAAATAAGAAAACTAATTGAAAGTTTTGGAATATTGGAAATATACATGTGCAGAAAAAAAATTAATCGAGTGACAATATTCTAATAAAAAATCAGAAAATTATTTTATTTTATATAAATTAAATCTAATTTATAAAAATTAAATTGAGAAAAAACTAGAACCACATTAATTATTTAATTATTCTAAAAATTCCAACCAATATTTATTCATTTTAAATTGACATCTGAAATGTTTACAAACTCGTATATTTGTACTATTAAATTGTTAATAAAAGGTAAAAAATATAAACCAGAATAGGTATACTGAAAGTTGATATATAGAAGTCAAACTACATAAAAAATGTGATAAGTCCTGCATGCACAAAAAAATAATAGCAATAATACAGGTGTAAATTTTTTACTGAAATTTATTATTTTAATTTAATTAGAAATAGTGCAGTTTACAAGGTACAATTATAATCTTGTAATAATAAAAGGAGAATGAAAAGGTATATAAAAAGTTATTTTAATTAAATTAGGTTTTTTTTATTTTTTAGAAAATTGCATCGAAATTAATTTGCAACACATTTTCTCAAGATCAGCAATTGAACCAGTTAGCAGAGAGGGATACATTAAAAAATTTATTAAATTATTTTGGAATTTATTTTTTATGGCAAATCGTGGAGTCCCAGTCTGAAAATATCGTGCATCAACACAAATGAGCCTTGGATGGCTTGCAGGATGAAAATCTGCGTAAATTCGTGAGGCGGATCCTCGTCACACTGAAATTTTAAACTGTTTAAAAGCACCCCTCATTCAAAACTCGTCCGACTCACCTGTAGTCTTCCGAGCACGCTGATGAGGACGCCTCCGTCCAACATCGGCTGCGAATCCACTGTTGTTATTACTCTGTTGATATTTTTAAATCCTAACGTCTGAAGAAATAAAAGGATTAAAAAATGTAACTCCAAATGAAAATTGATTATTAAAATTAAAAATAAAAAACTATTTAAATGATAAATTTTAGCTTACACTGAATTTTTCAATAATATTTAGGGCTCCTTGCAGTTGCTTGCCTTCAAAGGTTAGTAATGAACTCTCCGCCTGATAATTAATTTACCAATTATATAAAATCCTCAACATTATTAAAAAGAAATATAAACACTCACGTTATAGAAAACCGCCATGCCCAATCGTGTGTCCTGGTTGTCAAAAAGGCTGTAGTATTGCTTCACAAATTCCCGCCCAATTTCCTCGAAATTTGGATTCATTTTTAGGAAGTTGGCCCAATATTGTCGAAGAAAATTTTCAAATCAAATGAAATTGAGGCCGAAATTATCAATCCTCTCGGCAAAACGAGAGAGATGTTTTCTCCACCAGCGAGGCACACACTCGGGCGGGAACGGAGCCAAAATTCCTCTCTTCTCACAAATGCTAAATGCTACCAACTGTTTGAATGCAAATAAAACTTCTCATTCCTCCAACGTATAATTTATTATTATTGGAGCAGATAAAAATTTATTTTCGAAAAAAGATTTTGATAATACAATTTATTTTCATTAGGGACAGGGAAATTATAACTTATAACATTTCATTCTTTATTAAATTCTTAATTTATTTTATTAATTGATAATGATAATTATTTCTTCTTGGCGTCCTTCAGACCAGCGCCAGCATTGAATTTGAAGAAAATTATGTCCCCGTCCTCGACGACGTAGTTTCTGCCCTGCTGTCTGTATTTTCCCGCCGCCTGATATAAAATTAATTTAAATTTGCAAAATAACAAACATCGTTTTACTTTGCAATTTGCTTCTGTTCCTTCGCTTTTGAAATCCTCGAAATGCATCACTTCGGCCATAATGAAGCCCTTCTCAAAGTCGGTGTGGATTTTTCCAGCAGCCTGAGGCGCCTTTGTTCCTTTCTGAATTATTATTTATTATTAAGATAAATTTAATTTTTACTTGAATAAATTTTGAACCTGTATTGTCCAAGCCTTCACTTCATCAGGACCGGCCGTGAAGAAGTAAATGAGCTGTAGCGTCTTGTAACCTTGCACAATAATTTTATCAAGGACACTTCAAAAATCAATTCAAACGTGAGATATAATTGAACAAGTTTTCCGAAATCTTAAAAAACCTGGTTGCGTTTTGTTCTTTTTGGAAAGTTTTTCTCTCGTCCTCGTCCATTTCTGCAATTTTCGATTCGAAAACACCTGAAAATGGGATGATGATCGCTCCTGGATCGTTCTTATCCACCCATTCCTTGATTTTGATTAACCTGATTTTAAAAAATTATTTAATTTAATATTAGGAGCTTTTGTTTTATTCGCACCATTTATTTTTCTTTCTAATGTAATCCTTTTCTGAAAGATTGACCAAATACATGGCTGGTTTTGAAGTGAGGAAAAAGTAGCGGTTCAAAACTTCAATCTGTGAAAAAAATCTGATGAAAATTTAAAAATTTAGGAAAATTACGTACCTCCACAGCATTCCAATCTGCAAACCGGATATGTCTCTTCTCATCTACCAAAACTTGTTTGATTTTGCAGAGAACGTCCTGAAATGAAACGGGTTTTGTGAACAATTGTAATAAGTATGCAACTGGCTGCGCTTTCGTGTAAGCCAAGTTGCCCACTTCGGAAAGCAGCGCGTCTTACATATTCCGGTTTCAATTTCTTGTCGCCGCCTCGAACAACCACCCTCTCCAATTTATCCAAAACGGTCAACAGAGCATCTTCGTCCTTTAGCCTCAGTTCCTCGGCGATCGTGTCCAGGTCGTTCACTGGATTCACTTCGCCCTCGATGTGCGTCACTTCCGTATCCTCAAATGCTCCTTTAATTTTTTTAAAGTTAAAAAAAATAACAAAATATATTTTCAAAGAAATTTACGGCATAAATGGAACAGGGCGTCGCAGGCTCTGATGTGGGACAAGAAAGCGTTTCCAAGTCCCTGACCTTCGGAGGCACCTTTGACCAGACCAGCAATGTCCACTACATTTAGAAAGGCGGGAACTTTACTATAAAAAAATTTGATTGTCATTAATCAAAAAAATTATTACAAAATACTTAAAATATAAGAATAAATAATAAAATTATTAAAAATTTAAATAAAAGCAATACAAAAGTGAAATAGATTTTTTTCACGTTAATTTAATATTTAATAATAAATTTTAATATAAACTATTAATCATGACAACCTTAATGCGAATTTTAATTATTGAGCTACAGTTGAATAAATAATTTTTTTAATTTAATCAAATCAAATGCACATTAATAATTTACAACGACGATTGCCCTCCTATACCTGACAGGTTTGTGGTGGTCGACCAAGTGGTCGAATCTGGGGTCGGGCACCGGCACGCGACTCTCGTTGGGGTCGATGGTGCAGAAAGGGAAATTCTCTGCGGCCGCCTGCGACTTGGTGAGCACGTTGAAGAACGTCGACTTGCCCACGTTGGGAATGCCGACGATGCCGACTCTCAGGTTGGTGCCGACGCGCCCGATCAGCGGTTTGCGTTCCTCTTCCTGCTTTTTCGGGGCCATTCCGGACCCTTTTTGACTTGGGACCAAATGAAAGGAGGCGAGGCTCACAGAGCTAAAAACACAACTGCTAACATAGCGAGTACCAAAATAGAGACTAGGTGGTCAACCTCTGAAGCTTGGCACTAAAAATCTATGTTGGGACTCTATCGTTCGTGTATCAAGTACGCCAAATCGTTAAAGAAATTAACTACTTGCAAACATTTAATATTGGTTTTAATTTTTTGAAATAATTTTAATTAATAACCAATTAAAATAATAACGAAAAGTTGATTTGTTTTTATAAATTTTTATTTTTATCCTCTGCCACTCTCAAATCTAAATAAGCTTATTTATTTACAGACATTCACATTTTAATTTTGCAACTTTCAAAAATCACACCCACAAAACTTTCAACTTTTCCAACGTTGTTATTTCCAGCGATGCCGAACCGATCTGGCTGTTCTCGTTGTAAAAGTTGAGGTGACGAGCGGAGTGATTTCTGTTGTTGATCAGTGGCGTGCTTCTGCAGCGGGCATGTCTTGGAATTATTTCATTTGGAGAGGGCAAGCCAACCTGAAAATGAAAAATCAATTTAAAATAAAAAGCTTTTCACCAATTTCAAACATAATTATTTTTTAATGAAATATTTAAAAATTATTAAACATATTTCCCCTCTTAATGATGACAAAGAAAAATTATTAAAATTGAATGAATAAAATACCTCTTGAAAGGAGCCAATACTGGAAAATCCACTTTCGTCCGAGTCCCTGGCTTTGAGTGTGGGCGAGGACGACGAGGAACTGTTGGAGGAACAAGTAGAGGTGCTGTCCTGTTGCATCAGAGGTGAAATGTAGGTCACGTCAGAGGGCAAGGGAGGGCGGGAGGGCACCGAGGGCTCCTGCTGGATGATCTGTGGCCTCTCAGGCAACTCGTAATTAAGCCTTCGTTTGCTCGTCATCCTCAGTAGTTCACTAAAAGTGAAAATTAAAATCGTTATGAGGAATAAAATGATTAAAATAATAGTTAAAAATATAATGATTTCTAAATTAGTTGTGATTTTTATTAAACTTCGGCAGTTAACATAATCAAAGGCGCACTGATAAATTTTAATATATATTTAATATTATAAATATTTATTTTTATAAAAATTTAAACGATGCTTCTTTATAAATAATTAAATTTTTGCAAGCACCTGAGATATAAAGAAAAAAAAAACAAATGTACAAACATCAGCTTATGTTAAATTCTCAGAATTATACAGGTAATGAGAACGCCGGTTGCAGTCAAAAAATTAACGGAAAGACAAAAGTGGCCTTGGTACCCCTAAGGGAATGATTCTGACACATGCCAACTGTAAACGTCAATTTGAAATACAAGTTGATTCACATTTATTGAGCGTAGCTATATTTGAATTCCTTAAAAATTCAATCCTGCTTTATTCTGTCACGCACCTACAAAATTATTTAGTTATTTATTTTTTTAGCAGCAAACAGCCAAACACCATAAAAATTAAATTGAACCAGAATATTAAGCAAAAAACATTTGATAATTTAAAAAAAGTCCTGACCATTTAAAATTGTCTAAAGACAGTCTTTTTTTAACCGCTGAAAAATTGATTTGCGCCAAATTTAATATGAAATAGTGCATCTTTTATAATTATTATCAGGCCGTTGGTTCAAAGAGCAGTTAATTTGGTATCACTTTCGGCAATACTTAAAGCTCTTGTAACCCTGATCTTTATATTATTAAAATTTAAAATCATTTACATTTTTATTAAAATTTAAAATAGACAATTTATTTCAAAATCCTTAACAAATATTTTCTAACTATTTCCTATAAATTAAATAATTTTTGCAATTTAGGGTTGTTCTTTTAAAATTACTATAACTTAAAATTTCTTCATCATCAGAGACATTATTATTTTTAAAACTTGAGTTGGTTCTGATAAAATATTATTTTATCAGAACCAATTCAAGTTGTGTTAAAACAGCAGAGAGGAAATACGGCACCTCTGCTACCTCAAACGCGCAGTATTGTGCAGGAAATGAACATCGATTGGTCGGAAAAGCAATATGGAAAAGCAGTGGCCTTTTTCAATTGGCTTCTGTCGCACAAATTCTATCGATGATCATGGTCAATTGGTATACAAGAGAGGAGATGGAAAGTGGCAACGACCACAAGCAGGAAAATGTTGAAGCTCGCGGGACTTGGGGTACTCTTTCTAGGAATGGTTCAGGTGGTTTCGGCCCACAAGAGAGGAATGCAAAACGTTTCTCCCGATGTGCTGAAGCAACTCGCGATTGATGAACCACAGTTTTGCATCCCATTTTATCTGATGGTTTATATTTCATTTTGAAATAGAAATTTTTCATCAATAAATGAATCTCTGCAGATGGCCCAGCAATGCGTCAACGTCCCCAAGCTGTTCTATCCAAAAATGTTCAAGAATTGTAGAAACCGCGGCAAGTCTTGGCGTCAGGGTAAACTTACTCAATTCTCTGGTGGCAAAAGACGAGGCTATGGTGGCAAGAGGAACTCCAAAAACCGACAAGCTCGAGAGGCGAGAAAAGGCTTTGGCCAGCGTATGAGACAAATGGCGGCTGAGTTGACGCCAGAACGCGGAGGGTGCAACGGAAACGTGGGCTTTAATTTTAAATTAATAAATTCATCTTCATTTCTCATTAAATGCAATTGAAACTATCAGTGTATGGCAGAGTGCGTCATGAACAAAACTAACCACGTATTTATCAAATTAACTTCTCAACAGAAATTTAATTACTTGGAATTTTGTAGCTAGACCAAAACGGCAATATAATTTTGGAAAATTTATTGGCAAACTACACGAAAGCTCTCGATTTTCTGACAGCGGGTAGCAAAGCCGCCTGGAGCCCACTCATTGCAAATATCATCAACACTTGCATGAACAGTATGTATTCAATTTAAAAGCAGCTAATACCACAAATTCACCTAATTGCAAGAAAAAGTCTTGTATTTCACTCATTAGTGACAAAATTATTTAAATCAAAACGGAAAGCAATTTAACCTTTCTGAGTTCACGTTTTAGCAAAATCAAAATTCCAGGTGTGCAAACAAGCACAGAGGTGTTGGCATCGACAACAACCACCACATCAGGTTCCGTGCAATCCACCCCAGCGAGTGTTGCAGCCACAACGTTCTGCAAAAGCGACAGTCTCAGATTGATCACGTGCATTCAGAGAGAATTTATCCTCGTAAGAAAATCTTTTATCAGAGCGTTCGAGAGCGTAAATTCAGATTAAAAAAACTTCTATGCAAACAGCAAGCACCAAACTCTGAATTAATCACCGCGTCGAACAGTAAGATTATTTTTAAAAAGATTCAATTGGATTTTGATGAGATGAAATATTTAGCACCTGCTGGAAATCCAATATTGCCGACCTGCGCAGATAGGAAAGCGCAATTGAAAGGATGTAATTTCAATTACATGCTTTCTTCAGATCAACTGAGGAAATATTTTGGAGAGTCCCGAAAGAATAGAGCTTGGAAGTCAGGATATAGAGGAAGGCTGACGCAGAGTGCAAAACAAGGAGGCGCTGACAGCAGTGAAGAGAATGGAGGACAGACGGGAAACCCGGACGTCGTCGAAGAAGGAGATGACGGACAATAATTATTTTTTGCAGCTACAAAGGTTTTGGTATTTGATTGGGAAGAGGGAATGTGTGGTTTGCCCGTTTATTTTAATTTTAATAAAAAAAACTTGTTGAATAAAAAAAATGTTCTAAAAAAATGTTCCTTTTTACATCAAAAGTAAAGATGCATTATATCAAATAACTAATAAGATTATCTATAAATTGCAACCAGCCCAGAGTAAGATTTTGTGTTTTTTTAATATCTTCTAAATTGATCACTGATCAGCTACCTAATTAAAAAAATTAGGAAAATTTATACACTTTATAATTTGAAAACTTTTATTTCACTTCTTATGAGATTGAGTAAATAAAAAATTTATATTAAATGTTGAGTTTATTAAAATTCAAAAAATTTCTATTTGGCTACACATTTCCAGATAAAAGGTATTAATGTATGGCTTTCTTAGGATAACAAAAATTCAAATAGTGTAAGAATTGGCTTAAAAATCGATTGTTAAAAAATTCCAAACTGCTGAAGAGATCTTGATTTAGGCCAAGCTATTGTCTTTCCGCCAATATTTTGATCACCGCATTTACGAAAATAATTACATAATACAGTACTTATTATTTTAACTGATTAATTATTTTACTTATAAATTTTTTTCATGCTCGTAATAAGCATTAATTAAATCGTAAATTAATAAATTTTAAATACCTGAATGATGATGAAGGCGATTCGTTGGACATTATGGGAGGCTCCTGCGAACTCAACATGGACTTCAAAGTGCGCGCCAGTCTGTGCGCCTGCTGACCCAATTTGTCATTTTCTGCAGACTCGATGGATACTGAGCTACTCCGTCGACTACAAATCATCAATTAAAGTGAAATTTATTTTCTTTTTTTAAATAGAATACAATACCTGGTGTATGAGTACTCAGAGTCTGTGTGCTGCATTTGGCTGTTCGACCTTTGCAGAGAAGTGCGCGGAGTGAATTCGTGCTCCAGTGAGTCTCTAATGTCTCCGGAGTGAGTACTCCTCGACCTAGGTACCCTGTCAACACACAAAAAACTTGAAATGAAATCTAATAACCCAATAAATAAATAAGAATTTTCTTTTCATCAACTGAAAAAAAATTACAAAAACTTGAATTTATAAATTAGATGAATTAAAAATTTGGTAAAATCGCAAAAATTTGACAAATTTATATAAGAATTTTTAAAATAAATCTGCAAATAAATCATTTTTAAATACAAAGTTCAAGCAAACCTGCACCGAGCTGAATTGCTTCGTTTTGCTTCTGGGCTGTTAGAATTCGCCGTCAGAGTTTTGGAAACCCTTTCCAAGAAGGTGGCGACCTGCTCAGCCACCGAGCAGACCATTCTCCTGCGTGACTCGGACTGAAATTAAAAGTTTGTTTCTTCAATTGCCGACACTCTCATTATATAAATTAAACCTGCACCGTCAAGCTTGGCGAGGTAAAAAGAACACAAATAGAAAAAGTAAATTTTACGCAAGTAGAGCTGAATATCAAGGTTAGGTAGGAAAAGCTTCTGGGCTGACTCACACCACATACAAAAAAATAAGCAAGTTATTTCACCTGAGATAATTGCCACGCCAGGGTGTTGACTTTGCTCTGCAACAATGTCACTTCCGCTCTTTGTTCGTGGTCAATGTTGAGATGAGAGGACAGCACGGCGGACGCTTTCAATCGACGGTTCTCCTCCATCAGACGCTCGCACTCCTGAAATTTGATTGCAAATAATTATTAATTTTGTGAATTTTTAATATCAAGTAAGAAAAAAATGCGTAAATTGCAAATATTTTAGCATGTCTAAATTTTTATAAAGTTTATCTAATTTTTTACAATTATAGGCCAATGATTGGGATTATTAATTTATTTGTCACAAAAACTGATAAATGGAGGAAAAAATAATAACTTTTTTTTACAAAGAGTCGAGGTTGTATTTCAAATCACCGACCTAAACTAAGAAATTCAAAAAATTAAATTCATATCTCAAGTAAAATAATTTTCTTCAAAAATCCTTGAATTTTAATTAAACTTTTATTTGAAAATATTGAACGTCCAAAATGAAATATGATATAAAAAATTCTGAATAATATATTTTTTTTAATAATTAAACAGACAGAAAATATTTTTAAATAATATTTAGGGAATAATATCTTGAGATGAAGTCCTTAATTACTATTTTTTAAATGTGATGAGATGCAATTTAAAATTTCCATTGGTTTCTTTTTTTCTTAAAGATTTCATTAATTTATTCCCATAGCAAAATCCTTGCTTGCTTTCTGCACTGTGAGTTTACCACTTCTTGGACCCATATGCATTTTATTAACCAAGAACATCACCAGACTGGAACATCAAACAAACAATTTGTGTGTGATAATTACAGGCGCGCGTTTTAATAAGCGACCCGTTTGTGTGATTCTCAAAACCATGCCAATGAGAAAGAAAACATCAATATAACCTGATTCGCTAAACAAAAATATTATCTGAATTAAATTCTTCTATTGTGAGGTCAAGTTTTTGTTAGTATTTTTTCTCGTTTGTTCACCTCTTCTTTAATTACGTAAAATTATTTTTGATTGCGAAGAGATATTATCATACAAGAGAGATGCCAAAATTAGCGCGGGGCAATACTCGCAGCTTAATTTTACTTTCCTTTGTTTTGAAATTAAAGCGGTGCGGAATTTTTCACATCATTATCGCGTCCAGGGATTATACTAGCTGTAATTATAAGCCGTGTGTACACCTGCTGCTGTTTGAGTTGCATCCAGTTGCTTATTTTCTGCGAATTAATGCGAGATTTGCCAAGTTTGCTGCAACTCGACTAAATACATGTTGACGTCTCTTGGTTGACACAGGAGAAAAATTGTTTTATTGCGGAGCTGCTGGGATGAAATTGTAACGGGATACTTTCAGTGAGAATCAGCGTTTTCTGTTAAATCTTTTACAGCCTGGTTCTCTTTTTTCTCAAAAAATGCTAATTTTTAGGCATAAATTGTTGAAAAATTCCTAGATAGGGTTGTTTTCAAGTAAAAGTTTTAAGAGTGTCATTTTTCGAATTCTCTTGAATGAAAAAGAAGTTAAAAATACTGTTGAATTTTTAAATTTGTCCTGCGGCATTTGGTTTTTTTTCTCGAGAAAATGTACTTTAATTTAAAAAAATCATTTTTTCTCTTACAAAATTAATTGCTAGAAATTTATATTAATTAATTTATACTATTATTAGTCAAACATAATCTATTGAAAACAGTAAAAATTTTACAAATTTCCACTCAAAAATATCTCAAATAATTCCACCCTCTCAAATTAATCACTTTCCATGAAAAGAAAATCCAAAAATGGTTTTTATTCAATATTATTTTGTATCATGATGACACGAAATTTGGCAAAGATAAATTTTCAAAATTAATTTTAGAGGGAATGAAAAAATTGATGATGAATTTTTATTGTATGTGAATAATTGAAAAAAAAAAAAAAACAAGAATCAATTAAGTGTGAAAGAAAAATGAAATTTTTTTTATTCTTTAATAACAAATTTATTAAAGGAAATATGTCTTGTATCATAAAATTTTAAAATACGATTATTTGAAAATAAATTAAATTAAAAAACTGATTATTTAGGTTGGTTGAGAACTGCACGTGGAGCTGATTTCAGCTGAAGTTAACGAGCTGCAAATCGCAATGAATTTGCGCAACGCATCAAATTATTTCTGCTAATGAGCTGCAGAAAAGCAAATTTGCGTCGGCCCTGGGCACTAAAGAAAGAAAGACCGCTACTGCGAAATGGGCTGCATCGTCTCGAAATTGCAATTATTCGCCCGCGGCAAATTACCTGAGTCGAGCGGACCCACGCCCCAAACAGATTGTGTGCTTGCAAAAAAAATAGCGCTCCGAGAAGTATAGTTTTCATTACGAATCTCCACTTCCGGTTGTTTGTTTTCTCGATTGGGCTGCAACTCTTTTTTTTTACGTGACGGAACGAAAGAAAGAAACATTTGTATGTTCTCCGAGAGAGATTGACGCCCGTTGTTGTTGTTTTTGTGGCGTCGGCCGGAATGTGGAAAAAAATCAAGAGTGTAAAATTACATGTAGCTCCGTTTGATTCGCTGCAGCAATTTCATGTACACCGTTATTGACCCTTTTCGTATGGCGAAAAGGGCGTCTCGTTTCCTGCCGAGTATGCAAAATCGATAATAGACACCCGTCAGTCAAAATATAAATAATTTTGAACGGCATGAAATTCAGGCCGATTTCGACGCTCCTTTGCATTGTGGTCTTGTTGAATTTATAAATCGAGGCTCAAGGACAATGAATTCACTTTCTCGTGTCGAGGCACGGTCGAGAAGGATGTGCACTTCCTTTGATTACTCAACCAAAAACTACCAAAAATTCTCAGGGTACATAATTTATCATTTTTATACAAAATAAATTGTACCTTCAACCAAACAAAAATATTCTGAACTTAGAAATTGTATTTAAAAAAAAGCAATTTATTCTGATAAGAGAATTTAATTCTTGAAATGCCAAAGTTTTTTTTTTATTGAAATTATAGTTTTAATCAGTTTTAATATATTATGAATTCACAAAGCCAAATTTTCAACTGTTCAATTTCGAGCTCTTTGTATTTTGGAAAGGTACATCAAGAATTTAAAACAGTTCAATTTAAATTGAAAAAGTAAATGAATTTTTTTTTTTTAATTTTGCAAAATATTCAAAAATAAATTCCAATTTCGGGAGTGCCTGAGACTTGATGACTCTCTAGCTCATACAAACACATGCACTTCTATTTTACTCTTATTTCAATGCTTCCTTATTTTATTGTTTTAAATTATATTATGACTGTTTTTTCCTTTGTGTGACATTGGCATAATGCGTAGAAACCACTACACTTTTCTCGTCGGCGACTCTACGCCGCCACGGAGAAGGGCGGATTAATTCGCACAATAGACTGAATGAATATCAAATAATAATGCACACAAAGATCTCTTATACAACTCTCGGCCGCAGTCAGCTGACGGAACAATGGATGCAAAAATAAATAAAACGCGTGCTTTTCATTTGAATCCAGTTTCTCTCCATAGCGGGCAGAGGAGCGTGAAAATTGTTTCCAATTGAATGCAAATTAAATAGCGCCAGCCGGAGGGAGACCATTCTATTGTTTCTCACGAATTATGAAAATTTTCCTCCGCACTTGTTTTCGATATATATATGATTGGGATTAAGAAACGGCGCGGTGCGGTTTTGTTTTGTTTGTGTACTTGGTGGCTGCAGGGGTCAGACAACCGTAAATCTCGCTGGAAAGAGTATCGCTATCATTTCAAAATGCGTGAGAGATCAAAGAATAAGATCCGTGATCTAAAAATCTGATATATTATTATCGGAAAAATAATACCGATATTTGAGGTATTTCTTAATCAATCAATCAATCAAAGTTCCATATAAAGTCTGCAAAAAAATATTTTGTTTAAACTTCAAATAATTCTTTTCTGTCTGCCAAACAATGTATATATATTTAATAGTTGAATTAATATCATTAGTAATCATAAAGAATAGAACAAATTTAAAAAAAAATTAAACGTTAAATAAATAAAAAAAATAATAATAATTTTAGTTATATTATTTAACTAGGCAAATATTTAATGTTATGCTTAAAAAACAAAATATTAGAAAATGCTATTTAATATTAAACAAAAGTTGACATAAAATTAAACATAATACAGTCATAATTCTTTTTAAAATTATATGTTTCACATCTCAAAATTTACAAAAATAGATAATTTATTTATTTAAATAGAGGAAAATGTTTTTCACACAATACGTTAAGGCGCATAAACTCTGAACTGTCTGAAGTTAACAGAGGCTTTTTATAAAATAAAATGATGAGTTATAATGCACTACCAAGAATTTTCTGTAAAATGTTAAGGATTCAGTGTAAATCAATATAAAATATAAATGAATTGAAAGCTTGTATAAATCGTAAACAAATGTGGGTGATATTGAAAAAATGTTTAGGAAAATGTTTTTAAATATAAAAAGAGTAATTGATACTGAAAGGGTCATTTTCTGCTCGGGTTTGGTTTTTTTTTCTATAAATTTTAGTAAAGTTAATCAGTTACAAATTATTACAATTTTATGAGACAGTTTGACGTGCGATAAAAATTTCTGTCCAATATCAAATAGACTAAATTTTACTTTTTGATGTGAATAAGTTTCCAGATTTAAGATTTGGATTGGAAAGCGGCTTGTTAAACAATGAAATATGATTTCGCAGAAAATAAATGAAAATTTAATTTTTCTAACCAATTTCAACCATTTCCTAAATAATGACATTAATCAGAGAGGTAAATTAACTATTTTGAATGTTCTTTGTATGTGATGTTTATTAAATTTTTTATGCCTTTTGCGAAATTTATATAAATTATATGATCTGCAGTATAGACACAATCTGTCTGTTGTAAGTTTCACCAGACCGAATCTCAAACACACTCACTCGCGTATAAGATTATCAATTCAAAGCGACCCTGGGGCCTTGCAGCGATTACACAGAAATTTTTCTTTCACTATGCTACATGTTAGTGTGTGCAACACTCATATTTTCTCTCTCATAATTGCAGCTGAAGTTCGGTAAGCGTTTTAAAAGTTCCCTCTCGTTGAACTTTCGGCTGAGCAGAGAGGACAAGAAGTGACTCACGTGGATATAATATAATGATGAGGGA